CTATTTGCTTTCCAGCTATCGTTTTTTCCTTTCGACAGAACTTTCCAAACAGCACTCACGGCTGTGTTTCGCGTGATTTATTGCGAGGCCAAATATCCTTGAGGACGAGAAAGGAGATAGGTGTAATTCTTGATCACCTCGATCACCCTTCCTTGAAATCTCACAGATCTTTCGATTTTTGGTCTTCTCGACTTTTTGAACTTAATTATTTTCGTCTTATTTAAGTTGACCTTCAAACCCTTTTTTGGCAGAATCTCTCTAGCGTATCGATTTTTTCTTGAAGGTCAATTATGCTACTTGCCAGAACGATCAGATCATCCGCAAACAATAATAAATCTGTTCTAGATACGATGTCTGTAAAGCCTTCTTCCCTAAAAAAATCGATGATATCATATAGTAAGAAAGCAAATAGAATAGGGCTAAGTGAATCCCTTTGCAGGACTCTTAGAGTCACTTCAACCGGTTTAGTGATGTAATTTTTTGTATTCACTTTGACAGAAGCCTGCTGATAAAGGTTCCTCATTACTTGTATAATTTGGACACTCACTCCAGACTCGTATGCCATAGGATGTCGTGGACTACAGAGACGAAAGCTCTTTCTAAATCTATAAAAGACGCGTATAATTCGATAACGATTCTGGCATTCAGCGTGAAAAGATTGTCATAACTAGACCTTCCTGGTCTAAAACTCCACTGACATTCCGGGATAATCTTGTGCGTTTCTATCCAGCATGTGAGTATAGCCGTGAAAATTTTGGCTATAGTGTTGGCCAAGACAATGCCGCGGTAGTTTGCCGGGTCTTGGGTATCTCCTTTTTTATATAGTAGAACAATCTCAGAGTTGCACTAACTTTTTGGAACTTCGCTTGAGTTGAATACCTTGTTGAATAGTTTTAGGGTCTGCCAGTTTGCCGGCAGATTCACCAGAAACGGATTGAAAATTCCGTCTGGCCTCGGCCTTGCCTGGCTTAAGCCTCCGTAAGACCCCAAGCAGTTCGCTCAGATGGATTGGCTAATCCAGGTAGAGGTGTCTGCCATCCAGAAATGTCTCTAAGATTGTCATCCGGGGCGGATAGATAGAGTCGTAAAATTCCTCCATTTTATCACAGGGGATATCACACGTCCGAGACTTCCTCCCCTAAGCTTTCTGACCGCATTCCAGAATGTCTTGATGTCACGCGTGTTGGCCAGATCAGCTCTTAGCGAGTTCGCGTAATCCTTCTTTTTTGCTTTGATTAAGACGACATATTCTCTCCTCGTGCGAATATACTCAAGTCTTGTACCTTCATTATCAACCCTTTTCCATGATCTGCAGCATCGTTTCACGTTTTTTCTGGACTGGCGACATTCACGGTCAAACCAGGGCTTGTTGGTATCCCTCTGCCTTGCTTGTCCAGCAATTGATACCATGCCCAGGTCAATTACTGATGTTTTAATCGCTGAGGCGATTTCATTGTTTAAAATGTCTACTTCGTCACAAAAGGGTGTTAGTTTCTGCAGTAGACTTTCGTAGTACTCTTGTGCTAGTTCGCTTACCGATCGTTCCGTAGTCCGACTGGTATGAGCTACTTGCCTTCCATCAGAAGCGGTATGCTCAAGTTCGATTGCAATAGGGGGATGATCCGATGTGCCCAAGTTGAGAACTGAAAAATCGATCACCCACTTCATCGCTCCATGGTTGGCCCAGGCATAGTCGATCACGCTTGTGCCTTTGCTTCCCAAAAGGGGGAAATCTCCCCTCGCGTCCGAGGGAGATCTACCGTTCAACACAACCAGCCCCAGGAATTCCAAGTAATCAAGAATTAAATGACCCCTCTTATCTACTATGGCGTCCAAAGAGCTTCATGTAGCTAGTAGGTTGGTTTCTTCCACATACTCTCCCAATTCTACTATTGAAGTCTTCTTCTACCAAGAGGGGGATCTCCGCAGAATCCAAGATTTATTCAACCTGCCTCCCCAGCAAACTCAATCTCTCCTGGTAGTTTTCTTGCCTTAAGTATGTATTAACAATTGCGAGCTCCCTCCTATTGATTTTCCCTCTCAATGCTATAATTACTATTTATTTCAATAATATTTGCCTCCTCGACTACTTCAGGTTTATAGAAGATGAGCAGGCCTCCGCTTGCTCTGCCTAGCGACTTTTCTTTTACTGCTAAGTTCTCGATGTATTCAAACTCCGACAATAGACCAGGGATCCATGTGATGGTGCCATATTTCGCAGATACAGAAAATGACGCAGCTTTTTAGGTATTCTTCCCAGTCTTCGCCAGTTAGGTTGTACAGATTGCTGAGCCCGTACATTCCAAAATATAACTCTTGTATTGCACTTACTTGTCTCTCCGTAACTTAGGTATAGGTTTGTTCCATTACTGATTGGTATCTTCTCTACTGTTTTTCGCCTAAGTACGGTTTCTCCGGCTTTAACCACTAAGTCTTTGGGTGGTTTTTCTACGAAAGAGGGAGGGTCTCTGTCGAGCTGGAACTCTGAGTCCCTTTGCCTGTTGTCAGTTTCATGAGCCTCACCGGGGGGAGTTCTGTAATTGCTGGTTAAACATTCCTCGATCTCGTCCCAAATGTAGGGCACGCCTTCGACTATCAACTTTTTATACCGACAGTTACCCTTTTCATCTTCCGTCTTTCTTCGTGTGCTCTATTGATAATTTGTTGCTGCATGTAGCGTTCTTTGGTTGTGCGATCGTGTGGAATGTAGTACTTCGTGCTTTAAGTTTGTTCTTGTTGGTCATTATGGCAATCTTGTCTTCTTTTTCCAGCTTAGCTATGTGTGCCAGATTTTCTTTTTATGACCTTGACTTCCTTCACTTGTATTTGGGCTCCAATTTTGTTCCTTAGAAAATCCTCCTCGTTTCCTTTTTTGCAGCACCGATATTTGCATCAAGGCCGTTGATGACAATATTGTTTCATTCCACTTCCCTTTCTCTCCTATTTTCTTTGTTTTCTAGTATTTGTATTCTCTTCAATAGTGCCTTTCTCTCAACTTCCCACTTATTAATCTGCTTGTCGATTTCTTCTTTTGCTATGTCCCGCATTGTTCCCTTGATTTCTGCTAGTTCTTCGAATAAAATTTTATTCGAAATATTTACTGAAATAATGTAAAGAAAAAGAGTCAGGAATCCTTTCTTCACAATTCTGGTTTATTTAATAAATTTGCTTTTAGTACAATTTTTTGTTCGTACATTTTGTCGGTTAATTTGTTTGCTTTAGGCGAGTTTGTTATCGTTGCAAATGAAAAAAGTGTGAAAGAAAGACTCCAGACTCTTTTTATTTACATTATTTCAGTAAATATTTCGAATAAAATTTTATTCGAAGAATTTATTCGAAATGTTATACGAATAAAATTTTATTCGAAGAATTTATTCGAAATGTCATTCGAATAATGCCCAACTCTGGAAAGTTGCTCGTCTCAAGTAAAAAATTTATTACTATCTAAAAATGTATCGCAACAGCTATGACATTGCGATTTATCAATACATTTCTTAGCAACCTGTAAACTATTCTAATGCACACGCTTCTAATGAACATGGCGATGTTGGCACTTCCTCGATATTATCCATTTCTATATCATTCTTATCGAAACTGTCATCATCCTTCTCTTTCAATGAAGTATTCAATTTCAACGCAGCTGATTTTTGTGAAATATCTCCCGACACTAACAATAAGTCATTATCTGACATACAATTTCCATGATATAAACTATTTTTTAAATTTAATAACATATTTTTTCTAACTGAAAGTTGTATCACTTTTGCCGAGGGATTTCGGGGTTGTAACTGCCACCGGGCATGCGGAGAACTGAAAATGACGAATGAGACAGACTCATTTGTCAATAAAGCAATTGAGTAAATATGTAAACTGATTACTCTTTCATTAATTTCGATGATTTTTGAATATGTTGTGGAAATCGACATGTAAATAATATTTAGGAATCGTCGAAATCGATGATTAATCTCAATGGTAATGAAACAATTAGAAGAAAATACGAATGAGCAATGTTTTGAACTTGTAAAATCTTATTCCTACATATCATTAAGTCATTTATATTTTGTATCATTTTTATTAACTATTTATGACAAATGATATAAATAATGTAATAATAAATAATTTCGGTTGTTCCAAATGCAACTCAGTAAATTCGTCTTAATAAATAACATCGTACTATATAAAAGAAAATATGTGTATCGTTTAAGAAAATAAATTTGAACTCGAAATTTCGAAACGAACGATTTATAAAAAGTAATTTATAGTACACAATATGTATTTTTATTCCAAACAATATTTGTAAAAACATTTTGATAAGTCCAATCTTTTACAAAATCAAGTTTGCGAAATAAAGACAAAATTAATTTAGACTGTGAATTTACATATTTTTAAATAAAAATCTAACTATGTTATTCATAAAAATATCATATTTCAATCAATTTTTTGTAATTTTCTACATTTAATCTTCTATTTATAGTAGGTATAAATATCTTAATCTTACATCTTAATCTATATCTTAATAATAATCTTCTATTTTTAATAAATACAAATAATTTTTTAAATAAATATAAATAATCAGATATATAATTTAAATAAATAAATATAAATTTTTTATTCCAATTTTCATCAGTCGTTGTTTATATTCCTTCATTGATGAAGGAATGCATCGCCACGTTCAATTCAATAAATAAATAATTCTCGAAGCAGATGTGGCAATACTGTCCATATTTTTTAATTTTAATTTTCACTAGTAGTCCTGCAGTGCAAAACTTGCCTGAATCGATACGATAGGATGTGACACGAAAATGGTAAAGGGGTTTTGAAACTCCTCCATCGTGGACCGAAAGAATACATTATATGCAAGGTTTATTTATATCTGTGGCATTGGATGTCCAGTCTATCCTATTGGCCAATGCTGACACTATCCTATCAGTTAATGCTAGTAGTCAATAATATTAAAAAAGTATTCTAACTTTTAAAAAATCTTCGCCAAAAATCTTTCTCACAAAATTTATTTTTATTTAAAATATTATTACATATTTTTAAAATTTCATCTGATTCAAAACTTGGAGTTTTTCAGAAATTTAGCCTTTAATTTACCAATGATTCAATGATAATCGTATTTATTGTCTTAGATAATGGAGAACATTGAATGGAACAGAATATTCACCTATCCGTATAAATCACCCACCAGTTGTATCACACTTTGCACATGTCTGTTTTCGTTGCAACAAATTAGATATTAAATATCCTTACATCTAAGTTCGTTGTTTTTGTTCAATTTTAAAGCGATACATGTGCACTTGTAGATTTTGTATTTAAATGTCACCTGCTGAGTCGAGGATTTGTGTGTAAAAATTTTACATAGAGGCAATTTTTATGCATTTTATAACTTGTGCCAAGTTTAATTATATTATATTTAGTATATTATTAATTGTATCATTTCTTGATTATATCATATCTTTTATAGGTTAAGAGCAATCTGATGACAGAAAACTTTAACTACTTATAATTTAGAAGAATATTTTAGAGAAATGTCAACTTTGTACGATCAAATAAAACTACTTTATGAACAGTCTTTATATTCAAATGTTATTTCACTTGTAAGTAAATTTAATAAATGATTGAAAACATGTTTTTTTTTAAATTAAATGAAATTATTAAATTACACTGTAAGAATTTTGTAAAAAATACAATTGACGTTACTATTATAATTTAATATAATTTTTAATTTATTTAAATTTAAATATAATTTATGTTAATATTTTATAAAATAATAAATTAATATTAATAACTAATAAATTCGTATTTGTCCATATTACAGGCAAATTTAGTGTTATCACTAAGTGAACATAATTCAGATTTATTGCCAATACATGGAAAATTCCATATCTACGTTTATTATGCAGATGCTCATTTTCATTTAGGAAAGTATAAAAGGGCAGAAGCATTGTATAAAAAGTCGTTGCAATTTCGTAAATGCTTATTGAAATCTAAAGGTGCTACGAAACCTTTAGAAGGACAAAAGGATTTACCAACTGACGTTGATATAAAATTTCAAATTCATTTATGTTTAATAAAATTGAAAAATCCTCAAGAAGCACTTCAAGTGTTGCAAAGCATTCCTGGCAAACAAAGAACTCCGAAGGTAATTTAAATGACATGAGTTTTAATGTTATCAATGAGTATACATAATTTTTTATCTTGAAGGTAAACATGGTCCTTGCAAAAATGTTTCAAGAACAAGGGATGGAACGTTCTGCAATTACTACTTATAAAGAAGTTTTAAGAGAATGTCCATTAGCGTTAGAAGCTGCAGAAGGTCTTCTTTCCCTTGGAGTGAAAGGAATTGAAGTGAATTCACTAATTGTAGGTTGTGCATCCAATCTGTCAAACTTAGACTGGTTGAATACATGGATAAAAGCTCATGCACATATACATAATAGAGAATATACACCTGCAATATCAACGTTAAGATCATTAGATAATGTTACTCTATTAAGAGATAATTTTAATTTATTGACAACAATGGGAGAATGTTATTATTATGCTGGAGATGATAAAAATGCTTTATTGTGCTTGCGAAGAGCCAGAATTATAGAACCAGATATCATAAAAGGGTAATAAGATCTATATAAGTATATCCTGTCCATTATAATTTATATTTTAGAAAATTTTATAACTAATTACATTTATTTAAATACTAATTACATTTATCTAATTACGTTTATAATATTAAAAATAAATAAATTTTCTTTTGTATTTTCGTTGTTTATAAATAGGGTTGATATTTATGCAGCTGTATTACATAAAACACACAGTATTAAAGAACTTGAAAGACTGATTCCAATAATAACAACAAGCAACGAGTGCAGTGGAGAAATATATGTTGCTATGGCATATTCTCTTTATGCTACTAGAAAATTTGGTAGAGCAAACTCATTTACAGCACTAGCTTTAAATTTAAATCCAAATGATATAGAAGCTACAATTCTCCGAGGAAACATTTTCGTAGAACAGAAAAAATACCAAGATGCATTGTTCTTCTTCAGGCATGCAGTACAATTGAAACCATATCGTTATGAACCACATAAGGGTTTGGTAGATTGTCTTGTAGGAATGCACAGATTACGGGAAGCTATCAATATCGCTAGTGGATCTTGTAAACAACTTGGACATACTACGAGAGTTCTCACGGTAATTATATTAATCACGTCGATTTAATTTGTTAATATGTAACATTTGAAATTAGAAATAATATTTGGTTTAATGTATCAAATAACTAAATTTTAAAAACTCAATTTGTTTAGCTTTATGCCTCTGTACTCATGAAAGATCCAGTTTCTGTTGGAAAAGCAAAGAATCTTTTGGAAAAGGCATTATATCAAGATGAAGCTTATCTACCTGCTGTATATTTGTTAGCCGAAATATATGAACAAGAAATGAATTTGGAAGCTGCAATTGCATTACTTGAAAAACAGGTAGAAATACAAACAGCTTGTAAATTACATCAGATGCTTGGGGATTTATGGGCGAGAGTTCACAATGAAGAGAAAGCTTTGGATCATTATGCAATTGCTATAAAGTAGGTCCTTTATATTTATTTATTTATAATATATATAATGCAGGGTGTTAGATTTAAATGCGAATAATAAAATATCTTTCGAAAGATGTAAGTTTAAAATTATCAAAAAAATGTTTCTACAAAAATTGTTTGTTGTAAAAGACATTATACGACATAAGTATTTTGTATTGTATCATTCAAGCAAGGAACATTTTAAGGTCAAGTTAATTTTTTAAACGAGATTATTTTTTTATTCATATTGCAGCAGTTATTGAGACGAATTTAACAATCTGTTGTATCTTATCAGTTCATGCATTACAGTCAGAAATATATTTATTATACTTAACTATATACAAATGTATGAGAAATAATTCTATTTGAAAATTTCTAGTATATATATTTGTAGTAAATATTAATTAACATAATGTTCAAAATTAGTCTAGATCCAAATAATCGAAGAGCATTGGAAGGCATGCACAGATTAGATAACTCTTCAAATAAATTGGATTCAGCTTATTACATGACTGTAGGTGAAGAACAAACAGATACAACCTATGATGTTGGTGATGGTTTACCAGATACTGATAATGATGAAGCACCTGATGAAAGTGAGACTGAAGCTGTATGGTCAGATATGGATCTTGAAGCAAATAGCCAATAACAAAAAGAAACTTATTATAAAATTAAATGCATTCAGTATAATTAAGTTAAGAGCTGTAACTAGCTTACTATTACTATTAAATTTCCTTAATTTACTTCCTTGTAAATAAGTTCATAATCATTTATGTAATTTTTTGTTTTTAATTTCTAATTCATCAACTGTCTGAATGATTAAAATATACAAAAATATTATTTTCATTACAAGAATTTTATATATAAATTATTCCTATTCCTTTCCAGTACAAAAAGTTTATTACAAATTATTTCTTAAATTTTGTTTTCAAGAAGTAATACTAATGTTTTTATAACTTTTATTCATCTTGTATCAATATAAAATTTTATATCGAAAATGTTATCAATGTTTTCAACTCATAATATCATTTAATTCGGAATAACAATAACATACATTTAATAAAAATTTGTTATCTCTTTACAAATACGTAAAGGGGCAAAAAATTGAAAAAAGTATTCTTTTTATAAATATACAATGTTTATAATATACAAAGATATTGAAAATAATGTACAAATGCATAATTATGTTAAAATATATTATAGTTGATGTGTTAAATAAATATATTTTATTAATATATTTAATTGTTTGCAACAACTACCACCTGTTTTAGAATCAAAATAATTAGTAGTAAATGAATAAAACCGTTTACAACCATGTAAATGAAAATGAATTATTGAAAAGATGTTTAAGGAGGAAATAATATTTTAAATAGTAATGAGAGTTTAAATTCTTAAAATTTTAAAAATTGCTTCAAAGACTATTTTAAAGAATGAAAATTATGTAAATTGTGCTGCTATTTCGGAAAATATAAAAAATTTATAATATTTATGTTCCTATCAATGATTTTCATGTTAGGCGTGAAAATAAAAAAATATGATTACTTAACGTATGTAAAAAATCATAAAAAAGAAGCAAAAATGAAAATAATTAAACATTAATAAATTGTCCTCAGAAAGCAATAATAAAAGCAGCAAGTAGCAAATTATAATTTTAAATACATTTTCCTCAAAGTAGAATTTTCTAAAACTGTAAAATGTATATTGTAATTATAAAGCAATTTATTCGATTAATTTTAGGTTGAATACAAATATCTTGTAATATTTTGTTGCACATCATGGAAGATTTTTAAAACTTTTAGTTATATTTATTTAATAAAATAACCAATTGATTTAACGGAATTAAATTTTAAATTATTAATTTATTATTTTTAAATAAGACACAAAGTGGCTGCATAAAATGAGAATTGAGATCAATATCAGTTTCATACAGCATTTTAGATAAGAGCAACAATATCAATGAAAATATATATATGAATAGAGCAGTATTAATTTTTAATATTTATAAACATATGAATGCGACCAACAGTACATGCAAATATTCATTTAATATTATTCAATATAAATTATTATTTACAAATAAAATTATTTTACAGTTTGCAATTTAAATATTTCAAAAATGACCATGTTCATATTCCTTTAAATTTTAGGTCACTGAATATTTATTACATATTCTTTTGTAAAAACCTTGCAAATCATATTTCCTAAAAGCAACTACAAATATAAATAAAAATATTTTATTTTAAAGTACAGTATTGAATGTAATATTTAAATATTTCTGCTTAATTATCTTTCAATAATCAATTACAAATTATTGAAAATAATCTTAAGGAAACACTAATCATGTTTGTTTTTATTATTTTTATATTTTTCTTATATTTTTATTTGATCTTTCGCATTTATTTGTCTAAAAAGTATTATTTAGTCTTGTACATCATTAATTCTCAGAAATATTGTATACACAGAATAAAAGTACATACTATAGGTAGTTTATTTACACACTATACAGAATTGGAGATTCATAGAATCAATAATAATATTAATGCGCGTATTAATCAATCGATGTACATCATATTATTTTTGTTGACTTATTCTGAAAAGGAGAATCACACAAAGGATATATTAGCGCGAAAGTCGCAATGTAGTGATGTATGCTTAATTATCATATAAAATTAGAATAGCCAATGTCACATATATGTATCTTCCCTAAGCAAAAGAGAATTCGATTCGATGTATTTAAAAAACGCAGAATTCAGTCTTAAAGATAGGAAGCACGCATATTTCACTAAATAATTCACTTTGGTCTTAGAACTGCGTTCATAGTACATATATACAGGGTATTCTGTAACATGTGGAAAGTAAAAATTCCTCATGAAATGATAAAGCGGAAACATAGAATAAAATTTTTTCATTTAAGATCTCGTTTTCGAAAATTTATCAATTAGTTATAGCTAATTAGCAAAAGATGCAGAATAATATTTTTTCATTTAAAGCTATTTTCAAAAAAATAAACTGAATGTTTCGCTACAAATTGCCTTGGTACACGTACACTTGATAAATTTTTAAATTCAATTTTCTCCAAAAAACAAGAAGTATCTTACAAAAAAACTTATTTTTTTAACTTATTATTTCATATAGAATAATTTTCTGTTAATTATTTTCTTCTCTCACATCCAGAATCAGCTAAATTCAAATATACTTGACAAATTTTCGAACTCGATTTTCTCGGAAACAAAGATCTGGATGAAGAAATTTCAACATTTTCAACTTACTTTTTTTTACAAAAAATTATTCCTTGCTCTACATTCCACATACTACAAAACATCCTGTATATGTATGTATTTCACTGTTTCAACTTCGTCTGACGATATGATAACATTAATAAGCATCTTAAGAAAAATGAAAGCATCGTTTGCGATGCAATTAATATACATTTGAACAATTTGCACGGCGTGAAAATAAATAGATATGACCAGAATATAGATACACATCAATTAAAAGAATGATCTATAAATAAATTTAGTACATGAAACTGGTCGCAAAAATAAATTTGTCGCAATGATGCATTTTCTTCATTCAGAATGTTTTCAAATGCTTCCTTTTATTCATTATTTTCTCGTGTAATCTGTTTATGTTGTATTTCTTTAAAGGTTTTGATCTGTACGCACGATCTTTCTGATAAAGTAGTGGTAGAAGAAGAGGTAATGGAAGAAGATGAGGAAGACGAAGAAGATGAAGATGTAGAAGAAGAAGACGAAGAAGAAGATGAAGAAAAAGATGAAGAAGAAGACGAAGATGAAGATGAAGATGAAGACGAAGACGAAGACGAAGACGAAGACGGATCGTCGTTAACAATTGAAGGAGCACCTAGACCAGGAGATGGACTATGCACAGGTCGAAAAGAAAAGCCAAGGGTATCAAGACTGGAACAAGATTCTGGAGTTCCAATTGAACTAATAGTTCCTGGATGTAGACTAGATATTGCCACATCCAATCTGCATTGAAAGAAAAAGACAAAGCATTGTAACGATTCTGTAGCATCAATTTAATATTTTTGTAATATTAGAAGTAATAAAATTACCTAGATGCGGCTGAAGTTAGTAAACCAGAAATACGTTTTGCAGGAGGTTGTAACTGATCCATTCCAGAGTCATCTAATTCAAATTTTCTCTTAACTGATGTTAAACAACTTGGTCGTATCGCAATAGGACTTAGGCTCCGTCTAAATACACAAATTGTTAATTAATAAAACTGTATTAATAAACTGCATCTTGCCATATAAAAATATAATAGACATGACAAGAAATAACCTTGTTGCAAATGCTTTTCTAGTAGGACTAGGTGATAAATTACTTTTCCATGTAGCTGGATGAACACCAGGTGAATAACACTGTCTCTGACCAAAACCAGTTCTTGTTGGTGATGGTGAGGAATATGTAGTTGGGCCACTTACAGATAAGTTAATATTTAGTGGATCAAGAATTCGTTTAGCAATTGGCTGTGATTCTATTTTAAACTGCAATGAAGTTGATTCTGAGTCTTTAAAGGACAATCCTTCTGCTTCTATTGTGAGGTCTTCCCAAGATTGAGAGATCTGCATGGCACTGTGTATTTCTTTTTCATGTGCTGCTTCACGACCAGCAACATCAATACATTCTTCTTGCCTCAATTGACTTACACGTGGTGTTAGCCTAGGAACAGTTCCAGAATTCTAAAACAAAAGATATTTCATAATTGAAGCTAGAGTCAATAGTGTAAAATTCTAATTATTATACAATCACTACATTTATGTTTAATTTTGAGTATAGCATGCAATAGACATTGCTACTGCATATTTATAAAAGAAATTTGTTCTTACACTTGTGCTGAAGCGTCTTGTACAAGGTGAATTTGAGAATATGTTAAAATTTGATGGAACATCCCTGCAAATAATTGAATTATTAGTTTGTAACAATACAATTACACCAATTAATTGAGTATAACTAAACTTAACATTTAGATTACATTAATTATAAACTTAACATAAAATACCTGGGCGCAGAAGCCGAAGGTGATGTTACAGACATTGTTGCAGTGATCTTATTGATCATGGGTGCACTATTAGATCGTTTCAAACTGACTACAGTGTAGTCAACATCCATGATCATTCAGACTAAGTAGTTCTTGATACATCTGTCTAAAGACAGATTCTCTTCAGAAACTCGAGATACATTGAAAATATATAATAATGTAATTCATGAAGTAAATCAACAAACGATTCTTAGTACAAAACAAACGTATATTGCACTTTCCTCTGTCGCTGTTATTCGATAGTTTAGTAGTAGCAAACTATGTTTTTTAGCACAAGAACTGAGAAGATGCCGCATTTGAGCTTTCATTTAAACTCTGCCGCTCCGATTTTCGTTTCACGTTTTATCGCGCTGTTAGCGCAAAATATTTATAATCGACTTCTTGATTCGTAAAGATGAACTGGTAGAATAAAAAAACTATTAAAATACAGGCTTTGTTCAATTGAAAATACAGATAACAAAAGTATAAGGTATTGAGGTACAGGGATGAATTCGGATATCTCCGACTTTTCGTTTTTACTTGCACCACCGTGTCGAAACCGAGTTACGAATTATACTCTGATTCAATTTCGTAAGCCTCGATTTTTCAACAATATCACTAACAATAAATAAATTGCAATTTCTTCGACTGACCATCGGACACCTATCGTTTCTTATCATGAAGCACGCGTATGTCAGACTTGGCTATGATCCCTTTGTTTCCTTATGAAAAATCTTTCGTGATTGAGAAGTATACTGAATTTGTTAATAGCCTTGGGTTTTTGTTAAATCTACAAGTCTAAGAATACATGATCGTATTATAAAACTAACTGCTATATAAATTATTAGTAAGGGGAAAAAGGAAGGAGGATTATGCTATCTTTAATGATCCTTCTCTAAAATCTCTTTCTCTCTCTTTCTTTCAAAAGAGCGCAACATTTAAGTATTTTCAATACTTAAATAACTTTCAATAACACCTACATGTTGAAACGATTTTAAATTTTTATTGCAAATAAGAATGAAATAATTCGAATGTAATAATATATATTTCTTAAATAATTTCGAACAATTACTGTATGTACAATCGTATCTTAAGTATATAATTTTCCTGTTAGTATGAATTTATGTATGAAACAAAAGGATTGTTCAATTCTTTCGAAAGAAAGAACTGTTCAAAATTTATATATTAGTTGTAATATTTTTTACAAAATGATAGATTTATTACGAACATATTTTAAATATTTTTATAATTTCTATGATAAAATAACCTTTCTCAAAAATGTAAAATTTTTGAAAATTTTAGTTAATTTTACTTAATGATATAACATTATATAATTATATCATTGTAAAATAATTTATAATATTATAAATATAATATTATAATTATTAATAGTTGTCAACTATTTTGTTTATGTTGGTTTAAATAATTGATTGGTCGAAATATTATGAATAAAATTAGTAACATATTTTGTTATATCTGTAATATATTATTATATTATACATATACATAAACCATAATCTAATACAATCTTTCTATTTATATGTATTATATTTATTTTCATTAATGAAATAATAATTACGTTTTTATACATTTGTTTTATTTCAATTTATACTATCAATATATGGTTTTCCAAGAATGTAAATTCCACGATTTAATAAAAATTTAATATTATTTATAAAAACAAAAATATTTAATTGCTACAAATTCTACACTTGGTAATCGAAGTTTATTATCTTTGTTTCAAAAGAACAATTTTTTCTTTATTTCTAATTGTAACAGAGTATGAACAATAATGACAACTAAACAAATTTAAAATAATTTTTTTATATAAAAAAATAAATAATTTTAAATAAAAATTTTAAATATATCACAATTAACAGAATTTTTAAATATTAATGAATAGCATTTATTTTTCTAATTTCTAAATTAAGATGGAAAATGAAAAATTGTTTTGAGCAATATTAAAAGGATTTATTTTTGCTCCCCTCATGCAAACTTTATCTGTTTTGAATGTATTGTCTCACAACTGAGATAGCAATTGTTCTTAATAATTATGGGGTTGCAGAAACGGAAGCTCCATAACTTCATTCTTAACATTTGGTACAAATAAAAAATGCCACATTAGATTTTTTATTAAAATTAATCTATTCTATATCTACATCTGCATATTGCATATTTAAATGATTATCTATTATTTGAAATAGTTCTAATGGTTGGGGTATTCTGCCAGTTTCCAGTTTGGACCATACAGGAACATCTAGAACATAAATAAATAATATAAAAACCTAAAAACATACTTAAAAGCACTATATACTTATATATATAAATATAATTTATAAAATATTGTTTACCATTGAAATGAATTTCAAAAGCTCCTGATGATATGAAATGTCCTTCTATGGCATTAAAAATAAAAAATATCATTATACAAGAATAAAATCGATTATCTAAACACCATTGCCACAGTGATGTTGGTGGTTGTCCGAAATCAAGTCCACTTACTATTAAAACTATTAGTGAAATTTTTGCAAAACTCTAAATAAAAGAAAAAAGTGTTACATTAATGAATAATAATTATTACTATAAAAAGAAAATAATTATTAATATAAAATTACTATAAAAAGAATATTAATTACCAATAATTTAGCGATGAGCATCTTATTATGAGAGGGAATATAGTTTTCTCCATTAATTTGTAATTCTGGATATTTTTGCTGAAGAATACTGACATATTCCTCAAAAACTTTCCTATATCCACATGAATAGCTGAAAAAAAGAACAGACAAGAAATTATTCTACTGATAGAATTATAAGCAAACAAATAATAAAAATTGTATATATTAAGATATGTCAAATTAAAAAAATAAAAAAATAAAGTTAATTTTATAAATCTCACCAATAGAAAAATTTTAAAGTCGGTCCTGTTTTTGTACCAAGTTTGGTTAATGAAACTTGATTGTCATCAGCTTTATTGTCTAATGCGCACAAAAGGACGCAAAAACACACAACTAATTTCATACGACGCAGCATTCTTTAAGTCATTGAAAACGTATCGATTATTTAAATTTTTATTGAAACGAATATATTTTTATCTTGTAAAAGACTCCAACTAATTCTAGTAAGTAATACTCTTCTACACCCGTCTATACTGATTAGTCACTCTGTTATTAAGCTGTGCACTCCCGAATCAAACCGAGTTAAACCGAATCGAAAAAAACTCAATTTATAATTACTCCTCGCACTTTTTCGCATTCATTGAATTCAGTTAATCGAAATAACACCAAATTATAAACTTAATTTAAATATCATCACGCATTTCTATGATTTTCTTTGTTAGACCATTATAACAAAAATAAAAATATTTATTTACTTTCTGTTCAAATTACTTTTACATAAATTTATTTAGCGTATCGATATATTAGATTTCAAGAAGAGAGTAAAAAATATAATAATTAAATAATTTCTAACAATAAATTTATGATTAAATTTATTTATTTGGTGATTTTGATAAATTTCTAGTTTAACTGCTTTTAGCTACATATTTCGCTACACTCTTCCTTTTTTTTCCGTTTTCTTTCAGATGCATATGTGTTCTTCCGATTTCTTATATTGAGGAATACGAAATCTAGCATTTCTATATTTTATTAAAAAACATAAAATATTAAAAGCCAAAATTGGAAGAAGTGTGTAAATTAAAAATTTACAATAATTTTTAGTGAATGATATTCTTATAAGTTATTTAATAATACATGTACATATATAAATATTGGGTTCTAAATTCATATACTTGAAAATAGATTCAAAAGCTTGAAATAATAGGAAAATCAAAATTACGTGAAAGATTTCATTTAAAATCTTATCAATTTTGTATAGGAATCTATTTAATTTCTAATAATAGTAAACTATTAAAAAAAAGCAAAAATACTGAAGATATAGAAAGATTTTTTTTACTTATTTTAGATAAAATAAAATTTAAATAAGTGAAATTGGTCTGGTATATGTATATCTTTTTAAATTCGATTTTCTTAAATACAAAACAAGAGAATTTTATTCCAAATTTTCAACTAATTTTCTCATATAAGTTTCAAATCTCAGATTTGTTTTTCTTGAAAGAGGATTGTTCAATATAATTTTAGTTAATAATTTTTTAATTATTTTAATTTATAATTTTAACTGATTCTTGATTTTTATCTTCAATTGGCCAGTATATAAAATAAAATAAAATCTCTCAGTAAATTTCTATTAGTAATAAGAAATTTATTATTTTTTTTTTTCAGAAATTTCCATTGTCCAGTAATATTAATATATTAATGATAAATTAAATTTAAAATAACTATTTTCAATGAAAATAATTCAAAATTAAAATAACATATACAATATTATGATTTACTAGAATCTTTATTTAAAAATTTTTGAACTCAACACATGTACTATATAGTATTACAATTCTAGATTAATGGCAAAATACTAAGTGTGTGCAGAATGCCCCATTTAAAGTAATACCACTAAATTCCTTTGTTTCATTTTAGCAGGGATTAGTGGTAATGACAAAGTAGTCCATGTAAAGAAATGAAATTAGAGGCATCGTTTGGCCGTCATATTTAGAAAGAATTTATTCGCTTCAAATATATTTTACTAATTAAAAATACAAGAGAGAGATAAAAATTCTCTCTGTAAATAAATACTGTGTACTGTTTCATGAATAAAATATTCTTCTAAATATTAATTGCTAAATATGGAAAAAGGTTCAAAACTGAAGCTAAGAAAAAGCGAGATGTATAAGTTGTTTTTTATGCACTTTGTGATGTATAGTGTATATCTTAGTAATGTGCATAAGTTTATTATGTTGTTTCCATGTTGTAGCATACAAATTTGTGAATAAAGTATGCTATCTTTCAAATTTACTATGCAGTTTTATCAACAAAAATACTCATTGTATCTCATATTCAAAAGAACAATCTTTCTTTAAAGTGTATTTTATAACTTTTTAGGAGGCCTTTCTGGCAGCAATATGTTTGACAAAATTTTTGTTTAATAAACAAATAATTCTCTTCAAATTGCTCTTTGAAAAAAAAAAGATTTCTTCTTTAATATGATAATTGACTTGAGTTATCTTCAATATGCAGAGCTGTCATAAATCTGGAAATCTAATTAAATTAATAAAATTTATTAATAAATATTTCTTATAAATAAATATAATAATAATAACATTAAAATTTTGAAATTTACCTCATAGGATCTTCAAGGTAATCTGGTGGTATTTGAAATAGCTTTGGATCTATATCATTCCGAAAGGCAAATTCTTGAAAAGTGATTTTTGCTGTTACCGTAGGTAAAATAGGTATATCAATTTTTACGGGGAAACCAGGTGGTAATTTCATTAGGACAAATTCCCGTAATTTACTAAAATGTTTGAATGGTGCTATTACTTCCAAAACATTGAGTAACATATCAACAGTTAGTGGGAAATCTGGACTCATGGCAACTGTTGCTTTAAATGATTTACTACTTTCCTTGTAAACAAGATTTCTTCCAAGAAGTGGACATTGACCAGGTGGAGCCGTAACATATTCTTCCCAAGTAATATTTGACTTTGGTGGTGGGTTTAAAGAAGCTCTTCGAACTTGAGGCTAAAAATTGTGAAGTTAACATGTTTAAGTAAACTAAAATGATTCTATTACTTCTTTTACCTTTCCATTAGCAAATCCTTGTGAACTTCCTTTTGTTAATGATTCCATAATAGCCTTATTCTTTTGTAAGTCTTCCTCGCTTAAATGTTCTCGTCGTTTTCTACTTTCCAAAACCATTCCGTTGATTTGGTAAAAGTCCGCGTGGAAAGGCCCTACCATCTCCTTTATTAAATATTTGAGATATATCTCAAAAAAATTTTAAGAAAAGAGCAGGAGAAGGAGGAGAAGAATCATAGGTAAAACCAACAATGCTGGCCTTACCCTTTTGTCTTCACGAAATATCCAGCCTGTCTGAGCTTTTGAAAGTGTAATACTTTTTGTGGACATTTGTGCTGCCATGATATCACTTGACATAAGAATATCAACTTCATCTTGTATCTCTAATTCTGTTTCCTAAAAAATGAATTGGCAATAATAAATTTATTATTACAATAGATAATGAAAAATATTAATTATATTAATGAGAAATTTCACCTCATATCCAACTCTCTGATAACGTTTAGCTTTATTATCAAGTACTGCCAATGATTCACTTGGCTTTTGATCACCATTAAAAATAAATGATATGTCACCTCTTTCCCATCTCATATCATTGAAATCTACCAAAGTAGTATCCATTCTAATGGATGCTCCACTTTTATGTATTTTACAAACATCAGAAGGAAGCACTCGAGACACAAGTGGTACTGAAAAAGATATTTATAAATTGATACAATTACAATAGAACCTCTAATTTCCAAAGATTTAGTATTCTAGTATCTGGACTTTCCACTATTTAAACATTATATTTTCTTATTTGTCCTCTACTATCTCATTAATGATGTAGCACGACTCAATCTGACCAAAATATCGTAAGTTTCATAGCTAATAACACTATCAGTACTGTTTTAAATTCTTACGATATAAGCAACGATAAAAATAATATGCCTTTACATTTATGGTATTAGAGAAATAATTGAAATGTTTTGAGAAATAAATAGAATGTAATTTAACACAATTCAATAATTTATGTAATCTTAAATGGTCTTAAATGAAAAAAAATTTTGTTTCAACTTATTTTTTCATGTAGAATCATTCCACTGTCAGTTCAGAAACTAGTAAAAAAATTGAGAAAAGACAATTATTCAAGTCCTTTAATCAAAGTTATGTCTCTCTGTTATTTTGGATATTAGAGATTAATCAAAAATGTTTATGTGTTTATGTAGGAAATATTTTCATCTATTTCTTTAACATATCCATAAAAACACGAATTTGCATAAACATTTTCAATTTGATTATAAAACTTTAAATAACCTAGTTTAAACATAAAATTAAATACCCCAACTTTGAAAATCCCATTTTAATTCCATATAAAAGTCTCCCATTTGACGTAATGTTGCAACTAAATTTGGTCTTCTTTCTTCCATCTGTTCTCTAGCTTGTTGTTTTAATTTTCTCACTAACGACGATACTGTAAAGAATTTACAGTTTTTAATGTCAAAAATAGATGAGTAATCTGTTATTATTTTTACTAACTGGTTTGTCTGTCTCCATAACTAATTGCTTCTGCAAGTGGACTCCATCCAGCTAAGTTCTTCACTTTTACAGGTGCACCATGTGCAAGTAATAGTTGAACTGATCCTGAAATTTTATTTAAAACTTTATATAGAATGTTTCAAACTTCATCTGCTAAACTTTGCCAACATGTTTGAGAGCCAAAAATATTGTATGTACCATGGTATATGTCTTTGTTTTTGAGATATGAAAGAAAATATAGTATAACCCATAAATAGTCAGATATACTAAAGCTATTTAACTTTTAATGATTATCATTTATTGTCATATCTTATCATGTCATATTTATTATCATATCTTATCATTTATTATTTTAAATTAATCTAAATTATTATCTTAATTTAGATTAATTTATACAAACTATTCCAATTTTTTAAATCTTTTATCCCTAGTTAAGCATGCTTACATGGGATGCATTCAGAACATAGCAAAACCATTATTGATACTACTAACAGCCTCTTTGATTTTTTCTATTAAATTTTGCACTGAGGTACTCCTTAATTATTAAAAATTAAATAGCTTCAATATATCTGATTATTTATGGCTTGTACTACATTTTCATTCATATCTCAAAAACAAAGACTTATTGATTCATGGTATTGAAATGATACTCAAAATGATTTCCCAAATATGCTGGCAAAATTTGATGATTAAGATTTGCATCATTATGTATATATTAATAATATACATTGTTAATAAATATAAATACATAATACAAATACCTTTTCTTCCTAACATAACAGCTAAATGTAAAGGAGTATTTCCTGTAGAAAAAAATGAAATTATTCTATAAACTATACTCAAATATAATTAATTATTAATAAATCTATTTATGTTAACCTTGTTTGTCTTTCTCAGCAATATTATAAGTTCTGATTAAAGAACTTAAAGTTTTAACATCACCTTGAAATATGCATTTGTGTAAAGGGTACTTTTCATTTTCTGAATTCTCAGCCATGGCCATTTGCTAGGAAAACGATAGCCAGAATAACAATAATTCTTTTCTTTATCTAATCGAATCCCTTTTGATATAATAATAATTTCCTTGTATTCCATTTCCAAAATATGGCATACTATATTGAATAATCATATCAAAACATTCATTATATTATATGGGAATTATGAACAAAAGTTCACTATTTGACGTTGTATGTTTAATAATTAATAAAAATCAATGAATGATTTGTATATTCAATTGAATATCTTTGCAGTTTACATTTAAACATCGATACTTTTATATGCTTTTTATGGCACGGTATCTAAGATATTTATGTGTATATTTTTAAAGAACTTTAAAATCACGTTGTATTATCGTTGTTTTTACCGATGTTATTACTTTACCGCTGTTTTTAATTATCTGTGTTGTTCGTTTATTATGCTAGGTGATCGTGCTTGTAATCAAAGTAAATCAATCACCTCGTTACTTTTATTATTTAATATCTCTTTTACAATAACCGTTAAAAAGTGTTTGTTATCAAAATGAATTTTATCAAAATTCAATGTGTTTTACTACTACTTATTCTAACTTGTACAAATACACTGTGTTAATATCACCACTATATTAAAAAACTCACACGTTACTCACACTAATACTATTTATATACTATACCGTGTATGTATCTAGTTATATGTTAATCATGTACGAATGTAAACTTAGGTTTACGAAAATATAATTGATAAATCGAGATTTAAAAATTAGCAATTAAGAATCACAAAATTGTATTTTGTAATTTATATAGTGCTGTATAAATATTATACTGTAAAGTAATAAAGACGAGATTGCTAGGGACATTTTCAAAATTTTAATATAATAATCGAATACATGTTTCAATTATACAATTTATATAAGTTAATTATGTAAAAATAAATTCCAATTTCTGTATGTATTCATCTGTTTTTTTTCCTATTCTTATCTATCAATTTCATGGAAGTATCTATGTATCATTATGTAAATTAGTAATTATTCAAATAAATCGTTTATCCTATATCTATTCATTACTTGTATTCTTCTAATTTTTATTATCACTTTGGATAAATTTCAATAAATATCAAACATCTTTCGTTTTCTTTTATTTATTTATTTATTTATTTTTTTTTTTTTTTTTTTTTTGGTTATACGCAAATGAATTGAGACTAATGAATTCATTAAATTAAGAATTTATTTTACAATTATGTCATTATATATGTAAATTTATATTCCTATACTATACAAGCATTTAAATTCCTAAATTAGAAAATTACAATGAAAAAACAGAAATAAAATACTTAAATCATAATATTAATGAAATTTTGCACAATGATTTGTTCCTAAATGGTTGTATCCTAAAAAATATTGCTATCTGTAGAATTTATTTCTTCTTGATCAATATTCACTGTTTCTGTAGCTGTTTCCGGAGGCAATGACACTGACCAGAGTATAGAATCATGATTGTTTGATTGCTTTTCTTTGTGTATTAAAGACTTACTTACAACTTTATCATCTATTTGAGCAGGACATTCAAAATGAACACAATGAAAAACCTGGAAAGCGAAGTTTGAATAATTTTTATATATATACAATAATTATTTTGTCTAATATTACTACATAAAATGAACATATACATAGAAGGTATTTATAAATATTTGTATTTTTTATACAAAATGATTACCTCATTTGCTGTATTGTGTGTTCCAACAATACGTATAAAGACAACAGGACGAGCAGGTTCAAAGTGTATTGTTTGCCATGAGCGACAAGCTTCCCTGGTTTTATCAGCAACTAGAACCCAACTCCAAGAATTACCAGACACTTCTATATAGTAAGAATACGAACGATCATCGCAATCCCAAAGTAATAATCTAAACGTAAATCAATATTTATTAGAACATATATATTTTCTTATTTGTTACATATATAATAATAATACCGCATAGAGTCTATAATATATGGTTGTCCAAGTTGTACTAATATAGAACCAGATCCAACTTGATGACATGTGTAACCACTATCCCAATCATAGTTTGATGTATCTCCATTTAATAGAGCATTCCGAGATCTGAATTTAAATAATTTGTTACAACTGAATATATAAAACATAATACATAATAACTTACATACCTACAAACACCTTCTGTAACAGTTGCACTTTGATCCATAGTAGCAACATTCCGTGTTGGAATAACAAAACCATTATAGAGTTTTTCTGTATGATTTGTATAATATGCTTCAAAGCTCACAAGATGAAAAACCTTTAAAAATTAAAGTTATAAAATACGAACGTGAAAGAGAAAGATATTTAATGTAACTTTAATAATGATTTTACTTTGTTTACAGTATTATTTGTTCCAACAATACGAATATACAGAACTATTCTTGGTTCAAAATATAAGTATTGCCAACTGCGACAGAAGTATTCTGTATAATCAATAACTCGAACCCAATTTTTTTGATCCATAGATACCTATAAAGAAATGAGAAACAATTTATTATAAAAAATCAAACATAAATATTAATTATCCAATCTTTATTTTGATCTTACTTCTAAATAGTAAGAATATGAACGCATATCTTTATCCCAAAGCAGCATTTTAACATGATTGATGATGCACTGAGTTCCTAATTTAACTAAAATACCATGTTCTCGTGATTCGGTAATGGTGTGCCTGGTATACCTGATAAAAGAATAATATTATTTAAACGAATAACTTGCAAAATGAATTTAACAATTTACCCTCGTTCCATGTCGTAATTAATTGTATCACCATCTAAGAGATAGCTACGCATTTCGCCCTGTAAAACTTGAGCACCATACATAGGATGGGCAACATTTACATCGATAAGTAATCGACCGCGATAATTGAGATCTGAATCACGTATTTGTGTTCTTGCAGCTATTGCATCTAAGATTGCTTCTGGAGAAATTAATCCAGTTGGTCGAACAACATTTAAAAGATCCGTAATTGAAACTAAGTTTAATCGTACCTTATCTACAAAATTTGTCTAATCAATCGATAGTATTATATAAATATTATTTTGAAAATATATTCAAAATAGGTTTTTTACTTCTAATGCATTTATATGTACCTAAAACACTTTTACCCTCTGCATCAGGATTTGCGTTCACCCAAGCTCGTACAGCTAAAAAGATGTCAATTTCTGGTGCGTAAAAAGAATCTCTTGACACAAGTTCATTCAAAGCATCTGTGCTTAATTGCAAAAAGCTCTCATGTTGAATTACTTCGCACGCATGTTCATCCATGTATTCATGACAAACCTAGAATAGATTAATTTTACTGGATATTTTCAAATATATTTTTAGATGTTTTTGATGTGATAATCATACTTTAGTAAGAAATTCTAATCGATAAAGAAGTGCTGCACCAAATATAAGGCAAACATTTTTTATGTTTAATATTTCTCTAAGATAATCTGATATAGACGTTTCTAATTCCGAAAATCCATAAAGATGTGCTAGTCCAAGAATATCCAATACTACCTAAAAACAATAAATTTATCAAATAAAGAAAATAATGAAAGTATTTCAGAATCAATACCTCCTCGCGTCGGTCTGTAAGACACATTCGTCCTGTATATATATATTCAAGCAAGCCTTTAAATCCAGTCAGATTAGCATCTTTCAATTCAATTTCATGTTGCGTAGATTCTTTCAAACCTCCGAACAAAAGAGCTCTGAAATACTGACTACGTGCAGCTAAAATAATTTTATGGCTGTTGAATCTTTGTCCACCAACAATTAAAGTTACATCTGAATAATCATCTGAGAGATAAAGAGCACCAATATCCTCAGAAAGTGTGCTAATGTGATCTATATCACCAGAAGTTGGATGTTCAATTGATATGTTCAATTCATGGTGAGAACTCATTTTAAATACAAAATTGTAATTCTTTTTCACTTCAGTTATTTTTCTTCTTTTTCTAGAAACTTTTTCTTACTGGTAAATACAATGTTCAAAAGATACTGACAGCATAATACTCCAGTATATTTAATATTTTTTTCAATATTCATTCATAAACTAATCAAAAGACAGAAAGTAAAATTAATTTTACAAAAACTTTGTAATCACTAGATACATGTAATAAAGGTAAGATTAATGTCCAACTTTTAACTTTTATTTGTATTTACATGCTTGAAATATACTAAGATCTCACGTTAAAATTGTGCACTTAATTTTATGGGCAAATAATTTATACATATGTAAATAAATCTCTATAACGTAAAAATAAAGCCAGGTACATCTCACAAATGTATATTATATTTTACATTGAATTTTGTACTATTTGTTTCTCATTAACAGTACACATCATAATATAAATATCATAAACTTACAAATATTAAAGATAGACAAATACTATAGTTAGAATGCAATACACAATATATATGAAGGTGATATATAAATACATCAAAAGACTAAAAATTTTTAAAATTAATAACTAATAATAAAGATAATGACATAAAATATGTACATAATATAATATAAGATATATATATGTTATGTATTTTTAGATTAAAGGTTATTAAAAATTATCGAGTTTATCTAAGAATACTTAGAAAACGCTAATCGCTTTGTTTGATGAAATGCGCGAAAATTGAATTTGAAAATATTTTTTTACAAAACACTTTACTTGAAAATATGTACAAATATTCAAGGTACAAAAAGTTAATAAATTGAAAATTTTTTTAAATAGTTTGTACTTGATTCTTGAATTTTTTTCTTAATTTTGAAATTATTCTTTTAGATTTCCATGATCTAACAGTAGTTAGATTTTACTTCACGTTGAAGATAAAAAAATTTGGTCATCATACTCAACAACGGAACTACATGCAAAGAAAAAATGCACAGAATTCAAAAGAAAATGCTTTTAACAAAATTTATAATTATTTAAATGGAGGGAATCTAGAATAAATTTTTAATCATTAAAATTTTTTTCCCAATTTTGACTATTTCGCTCTGGTTTATAATTTTTTTAATGTAATGTTTTTTTTAAAATAACAAAAACTATCATCACTTTTTCGTTCTCATTTGATTTCTTCTTTTAGTAATAAAATAAATCTATTATTGAAGAAATGCCAGCAAAATAGCCGAAATTAGAAAAAGCTATCAAATTAAAAATTTACCTTATCTAGAATCAAGTATCCTTTAAAAGAAACAAATCATCTTTTAAAGATCGTGTACGATCAAAACTTTTAACTTACTACAATTTTTTACAACTAAATTTAGAGTTTTCTAATTTCCTTGAATTTAATTCTTTAATTCTACATTGAGAATGTTCTACATTGTTTTTGAATAACATATGTAAATGTGTTTTGCATTTCCAATATAAAGCCATGTTCACGCAGTAGCATATTACATGTTAAATATAAATTATAATATGCATAAACAAATTATGTCCTAATATATAAGATATATTTTAAAATATTATAGTATTTGTAAATTTATCGTAAGAAAATTAAGAACATCATATGATTATAAATGTTCTAATGGAAAAATTATTATTAGTATTGTTTTTATTTAGCATTGTTTAGTATTGTTTCTATTCCTGTATATTTCTGATAATATAAATATTAATTTTTAATTTATTCTGTTTCGAAGATATAATATAAGATAACGCATATGATTAGGTTTAGGTTAGGTCTTAATAATATTTATGCACTCGTCGAATCTGTAGTTTATATTTCTAATGGTGTAAACGAATTACATAAAAATTACCCGGTCAAGCAATTGTTGGGGATTGATAGTTTTTGTAAAACACGAATGCTAAAAAGAAAAACAGATATAGTTACAAAAATATTCTTTTAAGAAAATTCCATAATGACAAAAGGTAGCATCTTATTCGATTACAAGTATTATATAAACATTATTTCGCTAGGTTAAGCAATTTAATTGTTTATGTTATTATATATTAATTGAAATTATCTAATATTTATATATTAAATTAATTGTATCTTTTAGCGATTTTTATAATGATACGATTGAATCTGGCATAATGTTATTTAAATATTAGATTGAAATGAAATATTTATAAAATAAATAATGCAACTCAAATTTAGAATGTTTTAAATATAAATTTGTTCATGAAAATAGCAACTTTTGAGCACCAAAATGTCTCAAAGTAATCAAAGTAATTTTTTTATTAATTTATAATATAATATAATTTTAATTTATTTTAATATTTTAAGTGATATTAATAAATATATAGATATGTATTGTTATAAAAGTATGAATGTAATGTATATTTGATAAAACTTGGTTTGATTAATTTTATATCAAATAGTAAATAAAAACTATTATGTCCAATCAAGTGAAACTTTGATCATTTTTTAGACGAAACATTGGAGAAAAAATCAGTAGAAAATAATGATACTGATAAAAAGACTGCATCTGACTCTGGTCCTGATCCATCAGCACCAATAACTAGAAGAGGAGTGTTAACGTCATTCTTGACTGGCAAGCCGATGGAAATACCAGAACAAGATATTGTAACGATTTAATTTATGATTTTCATATTTGTTATATTCATTAGAGTATAATACATTATTCTATTGTTTTTTTTGATAGTTGGGTAAATGCAGATTTGTGTCAGAATTTGAAAAATTAAATCGTATAGGAGAAGGTACCTATGGTATTGTTTATAGAGCAAGAGATACTAAAAATGATAAAGTTGTAGCTTTGAAAAAGGTCCGAATGGAACATGAGAAGGATGGCCTCCCGGTCAGTGGTTTAAGAGAAATATCTGTTCTTTTGTCTTGTCGTCATGAAAATATTGTACATTTGAGGGAAGTGGTAGTAGGAAGAAGTTTAGAAAGCATATTTCTTGCCATGGAATATTGCGAACAAGATTTAGCAAGTTTATTAGATAATATGCAAGCACCATTTTCAGAAAGTCAAGTCAAATGTATTGTATTACAAGTATTAAAGGGTTTACGTTATTTGCATCATAATTTTATTGTACATAGAGATTTGAAAGTTTCAAATCTTCTTATGACGGATAAAGGATGCGTAAAAATTGCTGATTTTGGATTGGCAAGATGGTTTGGTTTGCCTTTAAAACCAATGACACCAAGAGTAGTAACATTATGGTATAGAGCACCAGAGTTGTTATTACAGGCAAAAACTCAAACAACTTCTGTTGATATGTGGGCTGCAGGTTGCATTTTAGGTATAGTGTTTTCGCATGTTTTTATTTATAAGTGTATTAATTTATATAAATACAAAATAGTAATATAATAATTTAAGTTTCATCACATACATGTTTTTATTAGGGGAACTTCTTGGACATCGGCCTTTATTGCCTGGACGATCAGAAATTGCGCAGTTAGAATTAATTGTTGACTTATTAGGCACACCAAGTGAAGCAATTTGGCCAGAGTTTAATACACTTCCGGCATTGCAAAATTTTACATTAAAACAGCAACCATATAATAATTTAAAACAAAGATTTCCATGGTTGAGTGCTGCTGGTTTGAGATTATTAAATTTTTTATTCATGTATGATCCAAAAAAAAGAGCCACTGCAGAAGAATGTTTACAAAGTAGCTATTTTAAAGAAGCTCCTTTACGTAAGTAATAGAAATAATATACGTATTATTCTAAAATAAATAATATTTAAATTACCAATTATCATTGAGTTTAATCTTTTTTAGCATGCGATCCCAAACTTATGCCTACTTTTCCACAACATAGAAATATGAAAAAAACTGCACCTCCAAAGGAGACTAGAGAACCAGAGACAAATGTTACAGACCAAACTAATAATTTGCCTGCAATTTCAGATCTTGTAAGATTATTATACATTTCATCATGTTTAAAAAAATCGTCTTAAAATTAAAATTAATATTTTTTTCAGCTTGGTTCACTTGTTAAGAAAAGGCGAGTAGAATAAGCAAGATTTTACTTATTCTCAGAATTTTTATATCTTTCATTCTCAATGTATGAATTCATTCATAAACTTTCAAATAAAACAACTTTATTAATAAATACGAGAAAAATAGTTCAAAGAACATGTTTTTGTTAATGAAAAGTGAGTATATATTTTTATTTTAAATTCATTTAATAATATTTGTAATACGAAATATTTTATGAATATCATAACTTATTAGCATTTTGTGGTCGTCAGTATGGTATTGTCATATTTATATTGGTAGTTCGATCTGTCGATGGCACAGTGTTATCAATCGTTTGGCAATATTGAAAAAGTTGAATTTTATTGTAATAAATGTTCGAATGTTTTAGCTTGAGTTCTTTTAAATATCAAAAATTGTATAATCAAGAACGTATTGTGCTACGGATCGCAAAATGTTAACATAAAATAATAACAAAATTATTATCAACTATACATATACATATATACATATATATATATATATATATATATATATATATATATATATATATGTTTACGTTTATTATTTTTATTATATTTTTATTATAAACTTTATAAATTTATTCTTTACGTATATAGAAATTCAATTGTTTTTGGTAGGATGTAATACATTTTCGTAACGTTTTTTGTATTCACCACTTGAATCATATTTTGCGGAAAGTCGTTCCCAATCTTTCGGTCTTTTAGTTCTCAGATAATTTACTACTTTATTCGCTGTGCGTTTCTGTTTTTCATTGCATTTACTGCAATCTGTAGACAAAGCGTCGGGTAAAATTTCTGAAACAATAAACAAATGAATCATTTATTAATCATATTTCATTCATGAATCATATTTTTGCAATTCCATCATGAAATTTTGATATAATACTATAATGCTATAATAAATTTTAATTTAATTTGATATAATACTATAATACTATAATAAATTTTAATTTAATACACAACATAATTTTTTATAGCATAATACATAATCTTTTATTGTTTATTGATAATTGATAATTTATTATAAATATTAATTATTTCTTATATGAAAATTAATAGTCAATGCCACAAATTATTAAAATAGATCGTGGCTGGAAAGTAATTCTAATTTTGAAAAAAAAAAACGTTTTTTATTTGAAACTAGACTTATTTTTCAAACTTGGTTTTCTCGAAAATGAAGTCTTAAATAAAAAAGTATTTCTTTTTTCTTCTGACTTATTTCTGCATCATAGTTTTTATATCGATCACACCACGATTTTACAGACACTCTGTGCATATATAAATTTATATATTGAAAAAAATTTTTTTGCTGTTGTCTCTATTTGAAATCAATATGAAGTAAGTTATAGAAACTTTTTTATGTTCTTCTAGTGTTTTTCAATATTATTTTTATGATATTTAAAAAATACAAATGTATACAATTATAATATATGTAAAATCATTTTTTTATATCATTTTTTACTTGAACACATATTTACAGTATATTAAGTACATGAGCATTACTATTTCTCTAATTATTGAAGATTCGAAAAAATATTTTAAAGTAAATTAAAATTATAATAAATTAAAATAAATTTAACAGTAAATTAATGTTATTATATAAATATTTTTATTATATTGTTAAATTCGTATTGACATGTGTAATAAAATGATAAAAAAAATTTCACCAATCTTATATAATCTCTGTAAATAACAGGTCAAATTAAGTTTTGCATTAAATATTAAATTAAATTGCATTAAGTTTTCTCTGTGAAATAAAAAAAAAAACTTATGTAAAATATTTTTTCATATTTTCAATAGTTGCAAACAGAATATATACAATATGTCCGCATTTAACCGGACATATTGTATATATGTATAATAACAACTTTGACGTTGCTTAACAGAATTCGATGTAATCCAAACGAGAAAGTTCAAAGCAACTTACGTAATAAAGAGAGGGAGAGCGAAAATTGAATTCTGTCGTAATCGTTTCAGATATACGTAGAAACTTCGAAAAGAAATCGGTGTAACTTTTGGTCATATTGAATAAAAAAATAAAATTGCTTCCTCAGTTATAAAAATAAATATCTATTCATAAATGTATTTTAATTTATATATTTTTCTTTTTATTTCTAGAAGAAACCAATTATGAAAGTTAAAAAAGATAAAAAATAATAAAATATTAAAAAAAAAGATACATATTATATTTTAAATCAAATTCCAGATAAATATTTTTTTGCCAATGTTAAGATAATTATATTTAAAACATAAAAATATTAAAAATAATATATTGTTTCTTCTTTAATAATATATTTTGTTTCTCCTACTTTTATACAGTAATATTTACATGAATTAACATCATATATGTGTTTCTTATTAATAATTCATCTGTTTAACAGAACTTGAACATTTATCAAGTAATTTATCAATATTTTTAAGTAACATTTTTACTTACAAACAAGTACTTATAACAAGTATTCTGGGTGCAATAAATTATATTCCAATATAAACAATTGTACGCATACTTTTATATTGCTTATATTTTTTTTAATTCATCGACAAATTTTGAAAACTATTCATGCATATTTATGCTTTATATTATATATTTTAAATGTGCGATCTGTTATAAAAGTTATCCTAAATTATTTAAAAACATTAGCGAAGTTATATTATCAAGCAAATTAGAAACAAGTGGAAAAATTAAATTTGAATAATTAAATGTTAATTTTATAAAAATAACACTTACTTTTTAATTCTCTGCCTTCGTTAGTACAGGGTCCTTCATCCAGCATACATTTAATATAATTGGTGAGGATGCGACCATTTTGTAGAATTCTATCTACATCTACATCGTCGTATTTGGTAGTATAATCTTCTGCTATTACACAAACGATCGCGGTTAAGGCGAATAATAGAAGATAAATCTTCATATTGTAATTTTAAAAAGTAAAATTTTATGATGATTATACCAATAGAAATAACACTAAAATGAACGAAATAATACAAATTACGTTATTTAGTTTAACGAATAAAGTCAGTAATAGATGGTAATTTAAAAAGAAACATTTGAATTTGAAAGCTACCCTATGCGGCTGAAAGTAAAACGCTCTTTGTAACAGGTGAAGCCAGCTGTCGAATTATATAGCTGAAGACAGAGGACAATGGAGGGAGTGGATAAACGCGTTAGTCGAGTATTTTACATGCACCTTCATCAGATGTATACTATTGTACAGCATTAATCGAATATATATATATATATATACATACGAGGAGTAGACAATAATTTATCAAAAATAAATAAAATTATATTTATGCGAATTATTAAATATTATTCTGATTGTCATACGTTCTGCGTCTATTTAAATTTTTCAAATTAATTATTAATTTCATATATATATATATATATTTATATATTTATATATATTTATATATTTATATATATTTATATATTATTTAAAATTGTACGAAATACAACTAGTGCTGTAAAAATACATACATAGTCAACATATGTAGCTACAACTGCGTGCTATCTAGAATAATGAAGAGATCCTTCGGCGTGTTTAGAGAATAATCATCAGATATTTACGTTGCATACCTTGTCAAGGACGATTCAACAATAATACGATATTGAAGTTACATCTGAAAACTTCTGCAATTATTTTTTTCAAAGGTCCTCAGAAAATTGGATAGGTATTTGCATATTCATCATCAAATATTATACATTAATAAAATGGTAAAAAAGATAAAATCGTTCAATTTAATCAATTAATATTAGAATTGTAAAAGTGGTGGCTCCTAATTTTTTATAAAAATTTTATAATAATGAATTTTTTGAGATTCGACTCGTTTTTTCGTAAAATACATAAATAAAGATTTGTATCCTCTATTATATTATTATTTTTCCTTATACTTTAATTTTTTTTATGTAAGTTTTATATTCAAATTGTCGATAGTTCTAGTTTTAATATGATTTTGTGTGATATGACAATATATTTAAAAAAATAAAAAAATAAAATTTTACGAATAAAATTCAATATTAATTATAAATTATAAATTTTACTATAAATTATAATTAATTATAAATTTTATTAAACAAGTTTTATTAAACAAAATTGAAATTGTTTAAAAATATCAGTTATATAAGTTTGAAAAGTAATTTATTCTTTTAAATATACATATATATGTATGTTTTTATTATCAAACTCAAAACTAGCTGAAATTGTATCGTGTATTATTATTATTATTATTATTATTATTATTATTATTATGTTCTTATTATTTTCTTTATCTAGCGTTTTTAGTTCGTGGAATTTTCTATTACTGTTTATACGTTTCGACATTACAATCATCATATTAATTAAAATGCAGATCGTATCATAATTTCAACACATTTTATCATTTGATTGTATTGTAGCTGACTGCATAAACTTTCTATTTCATTTTTTAGATTTTGTTTTACGTAAATATACCTTTTACTTTAATAAAATACGTGCACAATTATTTTACGGTCATTATTAACATATACTTGTGTTTTTTAATAACACAATATTTATTTATCTTTTAAATAAATCTGAAATATCATACGAAAATCTTTAGACAACAAGAAATTCACTATATTGAATATATGTAATATTTATACAGAAGGTAATGAAAGGAGATGATGTTACATTAAAAAGTAAGTAAAAAAGAAATTGTTTTATTTGAGGCTCTATTTTCGAGAAAATCAAATCATTGCGAATTTATGAAGTATAATTAAATTTAGTTAATTTTGGACCGGTCAAAAATGAATAATGAGTAGAAGATTATTTTATTTGTGAAAATTAGTTAAAAGGATAAAACACAATTTTTCATAATATTCTCCATTTTCAAGAAAATTCAATTTCAAATATAAGTCAATTCTTAGCTAAACATGTTCGAAGTCTATCTTCTTGAAGATAAAATTTTAAAAGGAAAAATATTGTTTTGCATTTTTGATTTACTTTCGCAGGTAGAATAACTAAATTCAAATATACTTAATAAATTTTTAAACTTGATGTTTTTTAAAAATGAACTCTTAAACGAAAAAATTTTATTATTTCTTTTCAACATATTTTTTTCATATAGAATCACCTTCTTTCCGATTGTATTATCGAATCGGAAACACACATATTATATTTGTCATATATGCAAAAGTCTGTTGACCATTTATAAGAAACAATAATATAACGTGTTGCATTATACAATTTTAAATTTTACTTACAATTAATACATTAATTTTTCTTAATTTACTTACTTAATTTTTAATTCATATTATTGTAAGAACATGCATTACTAATTGTATCTTTATACATTGAATTTTATAAGATTGTCAAAATTATACTAATTTGATACGAAAATTTAGTAACGAATCAGAATAGATGTGAAATATAACATGTATATGATTATTCATAATTTATCAATAAATACTAATACTAAAAATATAATATATTTTGACATTAGCGGGTAAAGAATAAGCGGGTAATCCAATATTACAAATAGAATATAATAAAAGTTGTATTCAAATTTAATATAAAATGTTACAATAAAAGTTATATATTCAAAGTTTTTAATAGTAATATTATTAAGATTAATAATATTCAAAGTTTTTAATATTGAAGATATTAAAATTAATATTAAGATTATTAATATTGAAAGTTAGTTATTGTTATGAAAAATTTCTTCAACAATTTCTTTAAAAATTTCTCCAGTCTTTTTAGAATTTTCTCAGGAATATCCTCTTAATTGTTCCATTGTCAAATATTGTTTTCCTCCAGTCTTTTTAAAATTTTCTCAGGAATCCCTTCTTTGTTGTTCCATTGTCAAATATTGTTTTTCTATGGTATCTTTATTATTTCGTCGTTTTATAACGTTGTAGAATCAATTGCCATTCATTGGGATAATTTTGTTCCATAAAGATTATCAACTTGATTGCAAGTGCAGCTTGTCGAGATGTACACTGTCTACAATGATTGTTCACTGCTTCTGGCAACAATGCTGCAACAATTGTAATGATATTTTATATATAACATGAACGAATTATTAAATGTAAATACGACCTTCTAAATTTGCATGCTAAGAAGAAAAATTGTTGATTTTGCTCAATTTATCTTTTACCTGATAAACATTATTGATTAATCATAACAATACAGATTGTAATAAGATATACTTGTTGTGACGACAAAGCAAAACTCCCGAAAGTAAACCTTGATGATTCTTATTTACATTTCTTGATTTGTTTATTATACTTTTCAAAAGTATAAACGTTACATATTTTCAACATAGAATTATTTGATATTTATTCTTTAATTAATAAATTATTACACAAGGAAAATATTGTTAATGAATCAATATTCTTCTTTTAACGTATATTTATTATTTGTTATAATATATGTACATATGTTGATTAAATGTTTACTGTTTACATACATAAATTTTTAACGAAATAGTTATAGTAAATTATAAGATAAGAAATAATTACAGAATGCGGAAAAGATTAGAAATAATTATAGTAAACCATGCTAAATTACTTAAAGATATTACCTATATCTATAGAGACAATCACGAAATTATGTTAATTTTTTCGAATTTTCAATAATCTAAAATTTATTGATTTTAAAATCGCGGGATAACTTTTCATGAATTCGTTTTGATCCATTGTTGATGAATTTGTGATTTGTATTTGTACTGTGAAACAAATATGTATATATACGTAGAAAGAACATTTTCTTTTTGACTGTTATTTTTTTCTAATATTGTATACTATATAACAAAGATTAATTAATTTGACCTATTTAATTTATTGAGTTTCAGTATATGTATAAAATTAGGTACATATGTATATATGTATGTATGTATGTATGTATAGTAAAATGAAACAAGGACAAAAAATAATATTTTTTATTTATTGAATATATTTAACTATTAGTGTGTATTTAACTTTTTCATTAAACTGATTTTTATAATCAATGATTCTGTGATAATGATATAAATATAGTAATACATATGATATAAGTACATTCGCTGTTACTCTCCATTATTCGTTTGAATTGATAAAACCGAATTTGAACTCTGTTTCAAGAGAGTATGTTAAACAGTTTAAGAATTTTTCAATTCGAATTCATCCAAAAATTTAAAAATATTATACAATTTATGATAAATATAAATATATGATACACTTATTATAAATATAAGTACTGAACGCAATTGACATGAATTATTTTCACTATGTTTTTACTGTGACGTTTCATTATTTTCCTTACTCGAATTAAACAAAAAAATGTACAAACAAAGTACGCCGAAAGTTTAATAAACAACATAAACATATTTCGTATCTTACCTATAATTTTTTTCCCAATCGCGTCACATTCTTTTATGTTTAAGATACAATTCACTTGTTTTAGTATGTATGATCTGTCCATTAATAAATTTGGAGTTGTATCTTTATGCGCTTCAGTAAAGCTCGTCAATATGAAAATGATGAAAAGAAGAAGTACTTTCATTCTTAATCTGAATATTAAAATAGATTAGAAAGAACGGAACAAATAGATTATTACTCTGATTCGTCGTGTTTGTCGTGTATTATTGAAGACAAAACAGATTATATGTATTAATATATGTATTTCAAACATCAAAATTTGACCTTATATTCTATTCTATGTTTGAGGGTGATAATTGTATGTAAACAAATAAAGAGAAAATTCGAGTTTATAAACTGCTTTTTAAATATAAATACAACGGGTAAGGAATGATTTCTCGTGAAAAATAAGTCGGAAATGTAGAATAAAATTTAAAATTTTGTTTTCGAGAAAACCCAGTGAAAATTTGAAAATTTATCAAGGATTCTTGAATTTCTAAACGTAACAGAGAATAATTAAATTATTCTACACAAATAGGTCAAAAACGTATAATAAAATTTATTTAATTTAGGTATTTAATATTTATTTATTTATTTATATCAAAACAGCAGGCTTTTAATATGTTTCGTTAAAAATTGCCACGTATACTTGATAAATTTTCAAATTTGATTTTCTCAAAAATGGAACCTTAAGTAAAAAAAATTTAGTCTTTTTTTTGGAATTATTTTTTTGTATAGGATCATCCTCTCCTCGATTGTATATATTGTATAAGATACTCTATATATTTATAGAAACAATTTTGAAAATGCTCTATATTAATATTTATGCAATTTTGTAATTCTAAATATCAAATATTACATATATATTACTGAGTATCTTTTTGGATCGACAAACATGTATACCTCCATTCAAATCTTAGATCACTTTTACTTTTAATATTTAATACACTTATCGCCGATTATTGTGTATACATATTTTATAATACATTTTGCAATACTATAATAATGATATATAATATAATATATTAATACATTAACAGAGTCTTCATCATATAAAGTATGTTTTACATTTATTGTATTTAATTATGTATTATATATTATAGTTATATTTTAATTATATTTTAATTATATATTATATTTATTGTAAATACAACAATTTATATTGTATATTGCATATTGTGTATATAATTTATATTTTTATACTGCGTAATTTATATTGTAAATATTGTATTTATTGTAATTTATAATTTATATTTAATGCATTATTTTCATTATACAAATGTAGTACTAACTTGTCCTAAGATTTCAGAGATGCATAATAAGATATGTACAAACTGTGATGTAAAAAAATAATAAATTTGTTAATTGTGTTATAATTAAAGACTGCAGATTTTTATGTATTTATGCGAAATTTAAAATGGACAAAATACATATGATATATATATAATATGAAAAATATATAAAGTATCCAAATATATAAAGTTGTTAAAATATCTAATGAATGAAATATAATTCTTGTTTCTTCAATATTAATTTTAAGAATTTTAATTTTAATATCCGCTATGTAATTATAATGTTACTTCATATAATAATTGTTATTTCTATAAAAGAAACGAAAATCATATTTTCATATCATCTACTGTAACGTCATTTGAATTTTCCGCGGAAATTGGCGGAGAAAGAGAAAGTAGCCATAGTTGACGCTTCAAGCGAAATTTAGCAATCCAGATATGTATGTACATCAAATAAAGACTGTAATTGATAATTCTGTTATAAACTTGTACAAAGAAAGAATGTATTTTAGAACGCAGTAGAAATATAAATTAAAAGGACAGATAAGAAATAGTTCTCTATTGAAACGAAATTGTCAATCGTTTTACATATATTTATAGAAACATAACAAAGATATAATGGCAATGACTAAAAATCGTCTCCATAATACAGAAGATGATATATCTTTCGAACCAAAACTAACAAGAGCAAAGGCCAAGTATAGTTTGATAAAATATATTATACATTTATACAATAATAGTGCGATAATTGTACAATAATTTCATCGAATAAAAATATTGTATAATTAATGTAGGGAATTAGCAGCAGCTCAAGTTAATATACCATGGCCAATTACTCCGGTGAAGAAGACTTCATCAGAAGTACAAGTGTTAATCGAAGAAGAATTACCAGAAGATTCATCTGATGAAGAATATAATCCAGAGCAAGAATCACCTGACCCTCAGGATCAGACTGATCCTGAAGGAATTTTTAAGATTCCTGGGTAGATTAACATACTTAAGAAATTTTTAAATAATATATATAATATTTATATATACTCATATAAATTATATTGATAGAATCCTAATTTCTTTAATATAATTTTTTTTAGGATTCCTTATGTTCCAACAGAGGAAGAAAGTATTGGTCAAAGAACTCGTTCAAAAGTTTGTTTAAGTGAAACACCTTTGGAACAAATTGAACAAGCATTCATACCACCAGATATAACCACTGACATGTATGACTTGGATTGCGAACTAGATGAAGATTGGGACAATTTCTTAAAAGAATTTACTCAACCATTAACTCAAGAAACAATAGTGGAAGATGATTCGGAAGCAGATCCAGAATATAATATTTTAGAAGATGAGGAAACAGAGTTTTGTATGTATAATAAAAAAAGATATGATTGCATACTATAAATTTCTTCAATAGACCATTATATTTAAATTATTATATTTATATAATTTAAATATATTTACAGTGGATAAAGAAGAATTGAGAGCTGACAAAGCTGTAAAAATTACTCGTAAAGAATTAAATAACTTGATTGCAGAATTATTTGAGTTTACAGACATGTTTTCAAAACAAGAGCAAGAGATTTCAAAAAAAAGAAAATCTCCAGAAAATACAAATTTTTCAAGCGAAAACAATATTATGGTAAGATGATAGCGTAATTACTATATTTAACATTCGGACGGTGTCCAGGTTCATTCGCACTCCGCTCTAGACATATGATATTTGAGAATCGGTGCGAATCATTGTTTATTTATGTTAAAACGATAACAAAGTTACTATTTCTTAAAAGATGTATTTTTAATTAAGTCAAAAATGAAAAAAAAGCATATATTGGATTCGAACGGACTCGAGCACCGTCACTTACATAGTTGCTCGATGGATTTCCGTCCGAGTGTTAATTAAAAATACAATTTTATTACAATTTTAATTGTGGAATTTAGAATTGTTCTGTAACAGATTTATTACTTACTTACAAAGAACCCGAACTTCCCAATTTAATGAATCCAAATCAACAAGAATTGTTGGCAGTTCAATTTCGACAACATGTACAATTAATGGTGCAACATTTTGCTATGACATATATGCATCCGGACTTACATTCGCAGTCAAAAACTTGCAAACAAAATCTGAATAGTATAAAGTAAGTTTACAACCAATTTGTAAATAAATATGTATTAAATATATATTGAATTTGTACTAGATACTTGAGCAATGGACCTAATTCTGCATTCAATGTGGCAAATTTATCAGATGCTTTAACATTAGTATCTGATTGGGAAAATAAATTTTTGGATAATAAATTTTCTGAGGATTTCAAAAAAACTATGACAGATGAAGAAGTAGTAAAGAAAATAAATAAATGTAAATATATTCCTAAATTTCATCCAGAATTAAAAAAAATATTTATGGAAAGTAAAGCTTTGATGTATCCACAACTCTTGCCTGAAATGCCATTCAGAAGTGAACTGAATAAGTTTATGCGTTCTCCATATTTAAGATCAGAAGAAAAGTAAGTGAATAGTATATAATGTAAAAAAAAGAAATACTTGGGGTATAGGTATAATATAATGGTTTGCTTTTTTAGTTTAATTGCATTGGGTTTGGAACAGTTTCTTCCTTTTGTTGCATCTAAATCAAGAAAATTTAAGGGTAAAAATATTCAATTAGCAGATGCAGTAAAACTAATTATTCAGTATTTAGTGCCATGTAGAGAACCTGAAGGATTATTGTATCACATCAAAAAATGTCGAAGTGCAAAAGATGCAAATCCGATAAAAGTAAATAATATATTTATAAGCAATATAATATATATTTTCAGTTTAATAAAATTTGATTAAACAAATGTTTCCACAGCATTATTTTGAAAAGAATTGTGCTCCTAGAACAATACATTATATAACATTGGAATGTGATCTGAAGGCACCCAAGGATCAATCAATAAATCTGTTACCTTTAATTTGGCAAACTTATCTTAATAATGTAAGTAATTAATATGATTAATTTATAAATGTTTATATACATATTCGATGTTTTATATCACATTTTCTTTTTATTTAATATTTTAGTTATTTTAGTTATTTTTTATATAAGATGTGGCATTTAATTATCTTGATTTCCATCATTATTATTATGAAAGAAACTCAAAGTTCAAAGATAAATATTCTATAAAACATCGAATGTATCTCCTTGAAAATATTTTTTGCTACAGTAATATTGATATAAATTACGACAATATCAAGTGTCTCATCTTATAGTTACGTGTTGTTTGTAATGTTATATTTGTTTGTATAGACAAAACAGAAAATTGATATGATGAAGCGAAAACATAATCTTAATTTGTACAATGATATAAATAAAGATTGTCTTACAAATGGAAATGGAAATAGAAACCAAATTACTATTTCTAAAGCTCACTTTCTTTGTGCACAAAACCAGCCTGTTAATACATTACCAAAAATATTACCTGCAAATAATACATTACCAAAAATATTACCTGCAAATAATACATTACCAAAAATATTACCTGCAAATAATACATTACCAAAAATATTACCTGCAAATAATACATTACCAAAAATATTACCTGCAAATAATACATTACCAAAAATATTACCTGCAAATAATACATTACCAAAAATATTACCTGCAAATAATCAGAAAACAACTAGAAATACATCAAAAGATAATTTGTGCACAAATGCAAATGCTAATTTTGAAGTCTTTAGAAATATATCAAACAATGGAGATAATATTAAATCACATAATATATATACATTAAATAAAGAATGTTCATTGCATCATAGCAATTCTTTAAAAATTATAACTACACAAGAAGAAAAAGGGAAGCAAAAAGATACGAATGAATTAAAAGAAGTTGAAAATGATATATCCACAAATTCAATTACCTTAAAACATTCGAAATTTTCAAAAAAATCTGAAATAGTACAAGAATTACCTCAATTACGAAAGACTACTCCTAGATTAGCAAAAACAAAAAGTGCTCAAAATATGAAATTAATGGCTCAAGTATTAGGACCAAAAGGTTTATCCAATTGTAATGCCTTAAAATCCAGAGAAAAAAATGATGTAAATAAAAATGTAGAAAAATCAGCAGATTCGTCTATGCTTGTAAGTAAAATTATCATTGATTTCAAGATTAATGTTTAATAAAATTAACATTTTTAATATTTTATCATAGGACAATGAAGATGAAATAGCAGAACTAATGTTAGCTAGCACAACTATTAAAAAAGATTCTATTAGTAGAAAGAAAGCTAAAGAAGCTAGAGAATTAGAAAACATTAAAAGACTTTTAGAATCAGAAAATCCATTAAATGAAGAAGAAAGAGGTTCAAGTACGTGCTTATTCAATAACTTTAATACATTTTATTTAACTTATTTTAGTTTAATGTAACATTAATTTGTATTATTTCATGTAGAGTTTGCAGCATCATACTTTCAGAAATTGCACTTGACATTAGAATCTAATAATCCAGCAATATTACGGTCCGTAATAAAATTATATTTAGATTATTATGAAAAATTAGATAATATTAATCAGATCGATGAATTATCATTTTCGAACTCAGCAAATTCTTTGCATACTGAACGAATTATGGGAAAAGCTGCAAAAGATACAATAACTATTAATTTGTATCATGATATATGTAAAAAATTATGGGAATATCCTGAGCTTTGTACAGATTTTTTATTGTTTTTGAAACCACATCAAGCTGCAATGCTGGATAAATCAGTAGAGTATATAATGCTTCAAAAAATGAATGAATTTGTTAATGTAGCTCAAATATATTTTGCTAAACAACCTTCTCGGATAGCAAAAATGATGCAAGCTATTACACAACTTTCATCCAATCCACAAACAACATTAGAGCATATTCATGCAACTATGAGTTCTATACTCAAAGGACATCCTTTGATTATGGATTTATTTTTACAAATATTACCAACTGCTAAACCTCCAGAAAGGTAATACAAGTAATAATATTATTATATATATTAATGAGAAGAAAATTGTAGATATTTATTACGTTATAGTTTGTTTGCATCGCACATGTTTGAAAACTTAACATGTCCAGTGGGTCCATATGATAAAAGTAAAATTTATTCTGAAGATGCACCTGAATTATATGAAAATATAGAACTGTCTGTATTATCATTTCAAGAAGATCCTTATGGTGGAGAAAACTGCAAATGCAGTTGTCACAGTAGTGATGAATCCACTTATAAAAATATTTCTGAACATTGTGTGTCTTGTGGCACAAGGGTACGTAAAATTTTTTATTATTTATTTGTTAATAGTTTTTAGAACAATTTGAAATCTGCAAGTAAAGCGGAATATAAGAGTGAATTATAATTAATTATAATAAATGTACATTAAATGTTTATTAATAATTTTTTTAAATAAAAATTAATGTTTCATGTTTTATTATTTAAAACTGTTTAACACATTTTTAATAAAAAAATACAGTTCCTCAACGGGAAAATTTACCTTCAAACATCTGAAGGTTTAAGACCTGCAAAAATTATTTTTCCTGGAGCTGAAGAAGAAAAATTGGAAAATATTGCACGTGTATCTTTAAAAACTACTGATAAATTTGCTTTATCCATTTCATCCAAACAAAGAAAGAAGTCTTCGAAGAATGAATTTCATGCTGATGAACAATATCAAAAATCTTGCATAGCAAAAAATTCACCTGTCAAAGAAAATGAAGAAGGGGAAAAATTAATTATAAAAACTAAAAAGACTATAAAATCGCCGTCAAAAGATCAGAAAAAAGACTTAAAAAGATCTAGGAATGAATTGAATTATTTAAATAGAAATACGAAAAAAATGCGTATATCTCAGTGTAAAACTAAAAGTGAAAAAAAAATTGACAAACACGAAGTAAAATTGGAATGTGTAGATTCAAATGTCAGTCCTGATGGGAAATCGGATGAATGTTTGTTTATCAATTATAAAAACTCTAAAGAAATAATGGTAAATAATATGTCAGATGTGAAAATGTCGAATAATAATGTAAGCAAGATCTCATCTCATGAAATAAACAATGCTACTGATTTAAATACCAATGTAAACACTAAATCGTGGACACGACAGGAAGATATGATTCTATTGCAAACTATTAAAAAGGAATATTCTGAAAATTCACTTGTCCTGGTCAGTAAAACATTAGGAAATCGTACAATTGATCAAGTAAGTATATATTCTTTTTGAATATATTATATTCTTGAATATGTATATTATATATATTCTTTATTTTGAATATATTATATTTTATATATTTAATATCTTAATAATGTAAATTATATATATTATGTATTTAATATCTTTCTATAGGTTAAAGAAAGATGCGAAATGCTACTCTCTTTATTAAAAAAAATGATGTAATTATTTGAAAAAGATGTAATATTATTAAATCTTACTTCAAAATTTCACTGAGTAAGTATATGCCAAATAAATATGTAATGTTAAACTATTAAAATGTCACGATCTAAAAAATCATCAGCTTTTATTTTAAATTATAGACTTGTTTTCATCAATTATATAAATGACTTTATGTTACAAAACTATCTCATAATAAGAAATCCAATATGTAAATAGAAATAAGCAAGTGCGAAGCAATATTCAACTAAAAATAGCAGTACATGTGTGTATGGAAATAGGATATGAAATTAGATTATTTATAGTTCTTATAACTTATTCTAAAAATTAACAATATATTTAAATTTTTGCAGCACGAAAAAGCAGTAATTGAATATTAGAAAATATAAAGGAAATATATTTCATTATTTATTTGATTGTAATTTTAAAACATGTTACAAGAAGAATAATTATAAATTATGAAAAGTATATGCTATAAGAAAAAAGATCATAAATTATATATTATGTATAAAAATATGCATTATATTCCTTTCAATTGTATAAAATCTTATAGAAATAAATAAAATGAGTTTATGGAAAAAACTACGTTTTTAAAATATTAAATTTATTTGATGTGTATTTCATAAAACATTTATATAATATATTATATATCCATTCTATTTCACAAATTATACTCATACAAATTATAATCACACATTGTATATTTATGTATATAACATACAGACACAGCATAAATATGTATATAAAATTTATTTACAAAATGCTATGACTTACAAGTTTTTTAATTGTATTTATTAATGTATAAAATATTACTTCAATATAAAACAAAATAAATATTCATTAAATAAAATCAAAAATTATTTTTTTATACGTATATTATGATATTTATCATATATTTAAAAATATATAAAAGAATAAATATATTAAATAATATTAATGTTTTATTTTGTATAATTATATATAAAACTATTATTTATGAGTTTTTGTTTCAAGAAACAAAAATTTGAAAAGTTATTTGAATAAATTCATTTATTTATCTCCCCAAAGTTAAATATAAGTTTATAATTTATATAAATTTTCGTTTTCCTTATGCTGTATGATACATAAGGAAATTAAATTTTCATATTAATCCATAAAATTCCACAAGATTAGCATGTTTAAAATTATGACTTTTATGCTAAATTTAATACAAATTGGAATTTTAAAAATTCAACTACATAAAAATTTAAAATAATTCAGTCTTATTTTATTCAATTTTAAGAATTATAAGAGTATAAGAGTTATTTATTTTTGTAATAAAATAATTAAATAGCTATTTATTTTAAGTATATAATTATGTTAATACATTTAAGAAACTTAACCAAAATCAAAATATTTTAATTGAATCTAAAATTTATGTCATATAACATTGTTAATTAAAAACTAAATTGTACTTTTACATAAGTAAAAGTTATATACTTTTACATAAAAAGTAAAATCTTATATATGAGACATTGTTCAATATATTATACAAAGTACAAATAGTCCAGTATTTATTATCATAATGACTTTTATATACATGAAACAATCTTCAACAACGAAAATTTCATAAAAATGACGTAACACAAATTATAATTATTTATGTTACGTTATTAATTTTCATGAAACTTCATTTTTGTCTCTTACATTTTTTTTTTACATCTATCTTAATAATAAATATAAATGTGTTAAATGAAACATAAAAAAAAGAGTATACAAATATTTTTTTGCTTTCCAAAGTCTGAGAAAATTACAATATTACCATATGTACATTTGATAAATTATTTTATCACAATGTGGAACGTCGTTGCAATAGATTTGATCTATAATTTTTATTTGTATATATTGTAGGCAAACGTACAAATTACGTAGACTGTATTCACATAATATATGTGTATAGATATTTTGTAAAGATTAAAATTTTTTTTGAGTTTTGTACAAATTATTTTCGCAATACATCTATTAAAAAGAAATTATAATATTTTAAAGAACTTCCATACTGTCTATGTCTATTCCAATGTCAAGGAAATCGTCTTCATAACTTTGAACATGCCTCTGATGTTCTGAATGATCTGGATCATCAGTTACAGGACTAGGAGGCGGATTAGTCATTGTCCGATCAGAATCGACTGGCATTCTATCCATTCCCTCTCCACGTCTTAATCTTGCTTCTTCTGCTATTTCTCTTGTAGAAAGTTCTGCCTTTGTTAATAAGGCGGGAAGATCTTTTTCTGAACCATCTAAAATTATTTTTATTAAGAAAAAATTCTTATCATGTAACAGATGACTTACTTTCGAGACCCTTTATCAGTTCTTGTGATTTCTGTCTTTTTGCAGCAGCATTGGCTTTCCTCTGTTCGGCGTGTTCTTTTTTGTCATAATCAAAAATCTCTCTTATTTTTTCTCGTGGTATATGTTCGTCGTTTTTCACTAACCACAAATATACACCTCCTGCAGTTCTTCTTCTAGATCCGTTCATTATTAACATGCCACCTCCTTCTTCAATCTTTTTGGTTTTTTGAAAAAATTCAATTGCTTTCTCTCTACCAATAATATCTACAATTCTCCCTACAAAATACACAAGTTTAAATAACTATACATGGGTATCATTTAGTTCAAGATAACAATAAATTCCTTACTTATAAGAAGATCTTTTTTCTCATTAAGTTTTGACGTTATATCAGTTGCCACATCTGCGTCAGTTGATTCAATCGTTGTATTTAAATCTGCTATCTTTCGTGCAGTTCCCTTTTGGTTATCTATCTCCATTAGATTACGTTTTTTTCCTAATCTCAACCTAACATTATTTCTGTCTGAATTTGTTCTTTTATTTGTTAGCCTTTTGTCCCCATCTTTTTCATCTTCTGAACTATTATTGTTACGATGCTCTGTATTCCATTTACCTTTGAAAGAATAACGATGCGGAATGTTATAACTTTCAACGCTGCGTTCTTGATTCTGTTTTTTCGTTACACCACATAATATTAAATTTTCTGTTAAAGATTCCTCTTGCAACTGCGTACACCATATTTTATATTTGTCACTTTTGTCCATGCAATTTTTTGTCATACTTCGAGATCTTTTTAGTTTTAATTTAGGTCTTTTGCTTCTGATATGTTCAGAATCTGAATCAGAATCACTTTCAGAATCCGCAGAATCATCAGATTCGTCGCTATAGCCCATTTTTATAAACTCTTCTTTATTCGGAATTGCATGAGGTCTCTTCAAAACATTATATGTTTCAATATCGCTTGCCTAAATAAAAATATATTATAACAATTAACAAATATACTTTATCATTGTAAAAATAATATTTACATTTAGCATCTAAAAACATGGTTTTAATAAATGCAATGTTACAACTGCAAAGTACAGAAAAATTGAATAAATTCGAATGATTTTAATTCAACTATGAATTTTAACGTTGGAATACAGTCTTTGTGGTTACAATAGGTTAGATTTTTGTAAAATGTAAAATTGTACGATATTTCACCTCATCATCTATAACTTCACCATCTTCGAGTTCTAAAGGTTCTGCTTCCATATTTCTCTCCTCAAGGATTATAACCTATTTAATAAAATAAAATTGTGATCATCCAATAACTGCAGATTTTTTTTTTATATGCAATCTTAGTGATACTTTTTTCACAAGTCTGTCATTGTTGCCACCACCGCTGTGTATATTCTCTGCTTTTCTGTTGAATGGTTTCTACGGTTTAATATAATTCTTCTTTGCAGTTCAAAATGTTCTAATAAGAGAATATATTTAAATGACTGAAAATCTGTATTCAGCAATGTAGAATTTTGAAAATTTATATCTTGTTACTACAAATTTTGTACATTGTTGAAATAATTAAGTAATGGGTTAGGTTAAGAAAAATAATTTAGTAATATTTATTTTTAGAAGCATTGTTAAAAAATAAATCATAAATATATAGTTATATAAATTATGGTTGTTAATAAATGAGATATTTTCATAATTTTTCAAAAAACTATTCGAATATTTCATATTTAAATTTTTTTATACTATGAATTTATAAATATTTTGTTTTATATTTTCAATTGAAAAGGTAAGTCGAAGATAAATAATTATAATAAGTAACAACTAATATTATTTTATTATGTACGATTAATAGCAATTGTATTTCGCTTTATCGGACGCTTTTAGTTACTTTTTGATAGTAAATTTTACTTAACATCTAGTTGAATGTTACGCACTGCATTCCATTCATTTCTAAATATATAAATATATTGTATAAAATTAAAACAGATTAAAATATTATAAAGATGATTTTTGCATACTGTATAAAATGGACGAAGAATTGTCTTCAATTAACTGTATCTCGTTATTTCCAAATTGGTAATTTAAATATACCGTAATTATATTCTAATAATTTATTATTAGTGCGTTAACTGTGCAACGAATAACTTCGTAAAATTTGTAATAAAAATTTTAAAAATGTAATATAATGTAACAATGTTTAACAATAACAAATTTGTCGATTTTTAATAGTTTTACAATTATATTTCAATAATAAAAGAAGCATTTACAATGTTATAACGAACATTCAATGAATATTATGCTTATCATTAAAAACAAAAGTAATATTTTGTATATATTTTAAAACTAATGAAAAAATTCTTTAAACAGCTAAGTCGTCTATATTCTATATAAGTACAAGCACAAAGAAAAATAACTACATTGTTTGGTTAGATATGGAAGTAAATATTATTAAATAATTTTTCACATAAGAATACATTTTTTAGCATTACTAATCAAATATACTTTAGATGAGTGGACTTGATGTAAGTACATCCCAGATTCTAGAAATAGCATGCTTAATCACTGATAAAAATTTAAAACTTGTAAGCAAAGATTTCAATGTTGTTGTACATCAGCCAGATGAAATACTTAATAATATGAATGACTGGTGTTTAAAGATTCATCAAAAAGTAAAGATTTATAATAAATTTATAATAAAAATTTAATAATAATTATAAATTTTTATAAAAATAGTTTTATTACACTTTCAGACAGGATTAATTAACGAATCACGTTTAAGTAAAACCACAATACAAGATGCTGAACAAATTTTATTAAAATATCTAAAAACATATATAAAAGAAATGACATGCCCATTAGCAGGAAATTCAGTTTACATGGATCGTATGTTTTTATATAAACATATGCCATTAATTAATAATTATTTACATTATAGAACTATTGATATTTCTACCATTAAAGAATTAGTTAAGTAGGTATTAGAAGTGTTTCTTTATCTATTACATTTGATATATCTAATAGAATGTTAATGTTTATATTACTTTTAGGAGATGGAATATAAATATACCTACCTTAGAAAAAAAACATGTTCATAGAGCATTACCTGATATAAAAGAAACTATAAAAGAATTGCAACATTATAAAAATTATATATTTGATTCATGTATTAATAGTTAGATCACAAATTTTGTTTTATATTGTAAGACATGTTTAATGTTTTTCAGAATAAAAAATTCTATATTGTAATGTAAAATATTTTAACTGTCAAATATTTCCATTTAATTATTTAAATGCACATTTGATGGCTTAATAAGAATTATATAATATATGCCAAATTTATCTTTAAAATTACGAACTGTTTTTATTTAAATATATATACACAGTGTTCCAGGTCTCAAACTTTGCCAACATGTTTAAGAGATCATTTTGAATTAAAAATATTATACACTATGCATCAATATATCTTTGTTTTCGATGCATAAAAGAAAATTTAGTACAAGCCATAAGCAATCAGATATATATACTGAAGCTACTTAACTTTTATGATTATCAATGATGTACTTCAGTACAAATATTTGTAATGAATTGATAGAAAAGATCGAAGAGGCTGCTAGTACCATTAATAACAACTTTTCTAATATGCAGTGATTGCGGTCTATAAAAAACATGGTTACTTATGTGTATACTAAAAACAGAAAATTATCATTTGTATAAACTAGTCTGAACCAGTATTAATTAATGTAAAAAAAATGATAATTATTAAAAGTTAAGTACTTCTTAAATGTTGGCAAAGTTTAACGACTGAGATCTGGAATATTCTGTATACATACATAGATACACACATAAGTTACAAAACTTATTAATTGCTATATAAATTCTTACTAAATCATGAAAACTTGATGATTAATAAAGATTACTCATAATTTATAAAGATTAATCATAATATTGGATGACCAACCCAGTCTGACAATATTGGCTCACAATCAGTGTTAACAATGAGTTAGTAATTCCTTTTAAAAGTGACTCTTTAAAAGTGAGTCCTTTTAAAAATGACCTGCAATAGTTAGTTATAAGGGTAAAATTTAGTAGTTGATCATCTATGTTTTCCCTTCCTTTTGGTCATGATAACCAAAAATGTAAAAAGACGTTCTGAGAAGAAGCTTGAGCATTCTTTTCATTAAGTCTTGAAGATTTTGTATACGTCCCTTAACCACGATTGCAACGTTGAATAAAACTCTTCAGAATTATAAGTGTTATTCTATTACGCGGAATCCAACAATTATCCTTATATTTATATTTATAATATAATATAATATATTATATCCTTATATTTATATTTATGTTTTTATGTCTATAATCCTTAATAAAAAAATGCTAATAAATATTAATAAGGAATTTAGGAAAAATTAAAAATTTTATAAAATGTTTTTTTACTAGATTCCTTTAATTTAAAAACATGAAAAATGATGATTAAACATTTCAAAAACGATCTGTATTTTTCATTTTTTGAAATTAAATTATTCAATCAATTCAAAATAAAACAAGTAACTAGGTTACAATATATTTCTAAAGTTAAATTTGAAGTAATTGTACAGGAAATGGGATATACTGCTAAAATATGTCTATACTTATATGATAAAATATAAGAAAAGAATAAGTCAAAGTAAAAGATATTAACAGAATTCAAATCTGTATCAAACATCAGAAATATAATAATAATAACTATTTTTTCTCTTTCTTTATATTTTCAAAAAGAGAAAATAAAATATGAAATAAAGAATTTAATATTAAAAATGTAAATTATTACTATTTATTCACAAAACTGTATATGAATATTATATCGATTACAAGTGTGCAAAATCTTATTTAAAGTCATGTTTACATTTCGAAATCGTTCCTAGTAAATTGTGTATTATAGTGATTGTAATACGTAATGCGCATGTCCATTACATAAATTAAAGGTTATGTTCAATTGTATGTCTTGTGCAATATAATCCTTGTGTGTAAAATATAAAGGTTGTTTTTAATATATTGTGTATTAATATTTCCATAAATTCAATCGATTATTTCATCGTGCATTGTAATAAATTTTATGTACGTAATTTATTATACATTACACACATATTTTTATATAAGACAAATTTATTTTGTGTATTTATTATATAATTTATTTTATTATATTCTGCATATAAAAACTAAAATTTTAAATTATGTTAATTTCGTTTACATCCATTATTACTTATTTTATATAATTGACTTAAATGACAAACACTCCTAATTTTTATGTTGTTATGTTGTTATGTTGTATGTAGTTATTTAGCTATTGTATCATTATAATTTTTTTAGTTTTAGTAATCCATTTACAATGGCATCTTCTAATAGTGGTGGTGTAAAAGTCATGAATATTGGTGGGCGTGTCATGAACGAAAGAGAACGTTTAATTGGTATGTTAGATGAAGAACGTGCATGGAGAGCTCGGTTTCTTAAAAGTCAGCATCTTGCACCAGATGAGCCATTAATGTCAAAGGAGTATTATAAACATTACTATAACCCATTTCGAAGATTCTATAGAGTACCACTAAATGCATTTGAAAGACTATTAACTCCTGTTGTGGTAAGAAAATAAAATTTTCATATAGAACAAATAATTTTTATCTGACATTACATTTGATTACAGGGTGCTCAAAATGCATTAATTTTACGTTATTGTACAGCAAAAATTTTGATGGGAATGTGTGCAGTTTATGGTGGATGGTACTACTATAATTATAATACAGCTGTAAGAAAACTTTTTCAGTATTTGTGGCAAATAGAATATTTAAATATTAAACATGTTAAAATATTTGTGAATTTGTTGAGATTATTTCTTTATAAATTTTGATCAGATTTTTTTTTTAAATCATAGCCAACTTTTTTTTAATTATTTTTTTCGTATGTCATAATAAAGTTATAACTTTAAAAAAAGGCTCAAATCCATAAGGAAGTAATGTTTTAATAGTAATCGTTTACCATGTTTGTTTTTATAGACTTGGATGAGACAATCTGGTTGGAGAAAGATACAAACACGCTGCGTAAAAATTCCAGGAACTAAAGATTACAAAGGTCTGGAAAAGCCTCCAAAACCTTTTGCTACATTTGGTTTTGAAAATTCTGCCATATAAAAATTACTGTCTAGTATATATATTATTATCTAGTATTTAAATATAATAAAATAGTAATTTAAAATGTATTGTATGTTTATAATTCTATAATTTGAGTAAATGGTTTTAAAAATCAAATTCTATTTTTGCTTTTTCCAAGTAAAATACTTATTTTATTTTATTTGCACATTGTTTAATTATGCAGATTTAAAGATACAAAGAAAAAAAGAGCTATCTAAAAAATATGAAAGATAAGAATGATACAATTTTTGGAATTAAAAATGTAGTTATATTTGTTAGAGATATTTATTTAAGAAATCCAAATATCCGTCTTTGTCGTCCAAATTGAGTTTCTTCTTTCAGTACATCCATGAGAGTTTTATTCAATTTTAATCCTATAATTTCACCCATCTAAAAATATGGTACTTTTAATATACACATACACACAAGGGGTAAAATGGTGCATGACACAATTGAGTGAATTTATTTAACATGCAAAAGTGTATCGAAAAATTTTTCAAAACTATCAAATTTGAATACATATATCAATCGTACAAATTCATATATCATTTTTCAGTTGTCAAATTTATATGTACTTAATAAATTTTTAAACTGGATCTTCTCAAAAGCAAGGCCTTAATTGAGAAAATTTTCTACACTTTTTATTTATTTTAACATGTAGGATAATTTTTTGTCTATTTGTACTATACATCCTATTCAATCCTGCATGTAAGGTGCACGCAATTATTGTCACGATTTTTCAGACAGTTTTGATAAAAAAAAGATTAATCAATTTTCAGTCGGTTACATGTTGAAATATGCAAAATTTACAAAAACCTTATTTTCCAATAAAAAGTTAAAATCACCTTGTTTTGTTAGACCTATTTATCAGAAATCGACCTGAAAAACCGTGGCCATATTACGTAAGATACATTGTATAATGTATAATAATATTATTACTTGCAACATTTTGGTAAATGTGTTAAATTGAATGCTTCCATAACCCAATTTAACTACTGATGAAATTTTACCATTTGGTAGTATAGACATAACAATACTACTTGTACTACACACTTCTTCTTCCAAGGTTGGATCTACAATATAATTATCGCCAATCTATAGAAAAAAGTAAATAATAATTTAATCCATGTGTGTGTGTGTGTATGCATATATAAATTACATATATTTCATATTTTAAATATAGTACAAAATTTCTTTCTTTAGATATATCTACAATAAAAATTGTAAAAAATATAAATTAACAGAAACATACTTTACACAGTGTTATAATAATCGGATAATTACTCGTATCCAATTGTATGCAGTCATATGAATCATCTGATAACTCAATATCTGGTTCTCCACCATCAAGAGTTGCAGCTGTAATTTTTGGTATTTCTGTGCTATTTAATGCAGCTTTAACTGCAATTCCTACTGCGTCAAAAAGATTGCCACCACATTGAAGAATCTGTGTATATGCATTGTGTCCTTAAAATTACTATCCTTGTAATAATTATTCAAGTGTGTAAATATTTACCAAAACATCAACATATATTTTCCAGCATTTTTTATGAGGTAAAATACATAGTGTTTTTAAATCAAAAGCATTACGTGTTTGGTAAGCAGCTGTTAAAACATTGCTTATTTCAGTCGCTAAATCATCACCACCTTTTCCTTCAAATGCAGGAGTTGCAGTAGCAGAACTAAAATATAATGAAAAATGTAAAACAACTAATAAATATTTTACTTTTTTAATTATTATAAGATCATTTATCAAAATTAAGTAAATATAATTAAGATAATTTTTAGACATAATACATAAAATATTTTTTAGATATTATTCAGAATTATGAGGGATTTTATTTTACAAAATAATTATTTGAAAATTAATAAAGAATACCAAACATTCAATAACTACTATAATTACCATAAGGAGTATGACATACCAATCAACAAAAAATTCTAATTTTCCTTCATTTGGTTTATCAGCGTGAGGTATATCAAGTTCTACTTTAATGCCAACAAGTATATCTGTATTTCCTATGTGTAATCTTGCTGATCCATGCGTTTGTGGCATTAATTTAGTTTCAATCTCCATTGATCGATATTCACATCGTCGTCTACCATCATTTCTAAAGTCTGCCTTATAATTACAAAATTGTAAAAATGATAAAATAGCCTTTAATTTATAAATATATACAGATTCTCTTATATTAACTTACATCTATTCCATGAAGTATGAATATTTTTTCACCAGAACTTAAAACAGTTTCTGCCATTATGAAATATTTTAATTTTATAAATAAATTTTAATTTTTACACTGTTATATTAATGTTCAAAGAAATTTCTTGCCGTATATTGTATTTTATTGTTATTATTTATTATTTATATAACGAAGGTTATGTAACCTAAGAGTGAATTAAAAATAATTTTTTACTTTAATTGAAATATTAATAAATATTATAAATATATTATATTATTTAATAAAACTATAAAATATCTAATGTTTATTTAATTATCATTAAGATTAACTCGTTCATATATCGAAATAAATGTTTTAATGCTGTCTTGAATGTTGAATATATAGGGTGTTTCAGAGTATCTAATCATTTATACTATATTTTTTTTCATATCTCAAAATTGAAGATGTATCGATTCATAATGTACATAATACTTTTTGCTTAAAATAATCTGCGTTAGCAAAATTCAATGGTTAAAATTTGAAATACACTATGTATATGTATATATATATTTACCAAAACATCATATATATATGTAAAAATAATATATATATGTATATTAAAAATCATATATATATGTAAAAATGTATTTTTGCATTATGAAGAGAGCAATTGCTTACTATATTCAGTACAAATATATTTGTTTATTGTGTATATTTACAATTAGTCATACAACATGTACTGAATACTCATATAAATATTATTATATTTGTAAAATTTTAAATAGTAAAAGGAAATTAGTCATACAAGATGTACTGAATACTCATATAAATATAACTATATTTGTAAAATTTTAAATAGTAAAAGGAAAGCAAGAATTTTAAATGTTTTATATGTATGTTAAATTTATTTATTAATTCAAGTTATATAGATTCCGAGGAAAAAATAACAATATAAAATATATACATACAAATATATATGTGCAATATATTTTCTATATATTTTACTGGAAGACAAAAAAATGAGAATAAAAAATTGCAAAATTTTCTTTATAATTGCCATGGGTATATTAAAGCGTGCAAAATGTGTTTTATTCTTATTATTATTTTTATTATTATTATAAGATTGATTTTTTTGATTTGATTATATGTTTTTTTAAACAAGTATTATTATCAACAATTCAGAATTAATATAATTTTAAGTAATAAGTTAATTAAAATCCGTAAAATGTCCCTTTTTATAAAAATCCTCTTTTTTTCTCTATTTTAAATATTTAAAACTAATAAAAAAATGAAGATTCTTCTGTGATTAAATATACTTACGCAGATAATTTTCTAAATTTTTACGTTAAAATATTTTAAAACTGTTTATAATTAAAAGATAGTTTATAATTAATAAAAATTCTTATAATCATATCAAGTCCTTTATTTTGTATAATTACGTTGTTATGAAACCATTTAATTTTTACGCAGTATATTTTGTATAGCATTTTTCGCTTTTTGAACACCAAGACGAAATTGTCCGTATTCTGGACGTATTCTCATGCCACGGTAATAATAAACGAGACTCATCTCGAAATTGTTAAGATAATATAAAGCTTCTGCTTTACAGTATACTGCGTTAGCCATACTGACATTTTTCATTTTAAATTGTAATGCATTCTCAGCATCTTGCAGTGCTTTTTGAGGCTCTCCTAATAAAAGATGACATTTACTTCGTGCTATTAATGCGTTGTTATCATTTGGTTCAAGATCCAGTGCCTGACGGAAAACAACAATAATAATTATATGATATACTTATATTGTATCAAAATATAGAAAGTCAAAAACATATATGTATAAATTGGTTGGTATTATACACATACAGACACATGCATGCATGCATACACACATATATAAAATATGAAAAATATTTTGTGTGTATAATAAATTTAATTTTTAAGATTTTTTCGTAATTTTTTCATACGTTTCGCAATTTTTTAAACACTTTTAACAAATTGTAAATGATAATGGTGTGAATTAAAATGGTAATATCAGATTACCATCTTTATAATAACCCTGTAAATGAATATATATTTTTGCAAATGAATATATATTTTTGCTCAAAAATCTTAAGACAATTTTTTATTCAGTACTTATTATCGTGTATAATCATGTATATATATTTTATAATATAATATAATACAATATTAACAATTAATATATTAACAAGATCTTTATTGTACAAAGTATGATTTACATTTATCATACTTAATTATATTACATGTATTAATTATATTACATGTATTTATTGTAAATATAACAGTTTATATTATATATTGCATATTGTGTATATAATTTATACTTTTATATTGTATATTGAAATTTATATGCATTTATTGCATATAATTTCTAGTTTATATTTATTATATTATTTTCATTATACAAATATAGTATTTGTCCTAAGATTTCTGAGGGGAAATTAAAAAAAAGGAATATATAAAATAATTATAATAAATTATAATATTTTACTGAATATTTTAGTTTTAGTATAGAAAAAAATTTTCATTTACTTTTTCAAAGATTAATTAAATTGATACTGTAATATTATAAGACAAAAAAATTAAAATAAGGTACCTTCTAAAATTAATTTCAACTTAAATTTCAAACAGACATTACGAATTGACGTAATTTAATTATTTTTTTCAATTTATATAGACTATAAATATTATGCAAAAGTTATATATAATATCTATAACAAATATTAAACATTTAAAAATAATAAGTATTATACATACTAATATGAATGGAAATAAAATAACAAAAGAATGTTCGATTCAAAAAGAATAAACGAGAACCTTATTAATACAATTCATTGCGACTTTAACATCACCAATTCGCATTTCGCGCAATCCTAAAGCCAACATAGCCGTTGGTTCAGTGTCTTCGGGTAATTGTAAATTACGGTCCTGTTTCTGCTTCATTTTTAACGACTGTTTAATATCTTTGGTACCCATATTTACCGCGGCAGCGCGATCCTTATCAGTATATACTTCTTCCTGGCAGTGGGTACCATTGTTTTGTCGGTGTCATTTCTTTTTCTTTTGGATGTTCATTTCTGATTCGACTGATAATTTATGGATGGATTTACTCTCTCGTTGCTTATTTTTCTTATCTTTTTTGTCACTGCCAATGCGACTTTCTTTACTATCGTCATCGTTTAGCTCTTTGTCAAAATAGATTCCCAAAGAAGATGGAATCTTTTCGAAATTTTCCGATTCTTCCAATTGCCTTGAACCTGAAGCGCTTTCTACTGGGGCTCGTACGTAACTTTGTAATAGATCATGATGATGTATTGTTGAATTTAGAATACCCATTATTTTCGAATCGATAGCGTTTTGAGTATTCACAGATTCTGATACAGTTATTTCACTCATCGTTCATTATTTTTTTTATGAATATTTGATCTTGAATTGATTTCTCCTTCTTTTTTTAAAGATAAAATAGTGTTGAAAATAGAAAGGAAATAATAATAGATAGGAGAAAAGAATTGTTGTTCTTCATATTTCTCCTTTGTATACTACTCTATATCTTAAAAATTATTTTAGATTAAGTATTTATTTTATATTTCATTTTAAGTATATTATATTTTATATTTTATTACAAATATAATTTATTTTATTTTAAATACATTATTTTATGTAAAGTTTTTTTTTTAATTATTTTATATTAAGAACTAATTGTAAGAGAAGCACTAATGGTTTTTTGTCTGGATTTTGTAAATAGAAATCAATATAACAGATACACTCAGCACGTTTCATTCACGAGAATAGTTTAAAGTGTAACGAAAATAAGCATGTACTACCGCTACTTTCGTGTGATTGCGTGTGGAATAGACGTGTGATTATCGACACCTTAGTCAGATGTCTTGTTTCCTTAGAAACAGTCAACAATGCGGACAAATGAAAATTTCTGATTGTACATGTGCTCTTTCAGCTTGTATTCTCAGGAAGTATCTAGTTCAGCTTGCAATCATTTAACTTTTGCATATATATAAAATACGGGGAATGTGAAACATAGAGATTCATCTTCTTAGTTCGCAATTACACCAGTTTGTAGTTCAAAGGTACTTTAGAAAATCAATTTTTTAGTTTTGTTTTTTTATTTACAATTAGAATAATTATAATATTTATATTTTTATATATTTTTTATTATGTAAAAATTTTTTATTACATTATAAAAGAATTATATATATCTTATAAAATAATATAGTAAAAATATCTTTTTTTAACGATTTTCAATTCAGTAATAAATTTTATACAATTATTAAACTTTAAATTACTACATACTAATGTTAATAATTGTAGTTTATAAATTCTAAAACTTATCAATACGCTACAAATTTTTTCATTATGTGTTACTAATTTATGTGTGCTAATTGAAAATTTTTTTTCATATATTTAGTTACATAAAACATTATATATTAATTACATAAAAATTGTCATTAACAAAGAAATTGAATTATTATTAAAAATTTTTACATTTTTTAATTTTAATTTTTACTTAATACATGTATATAGATTTAATCGTTACTAACAATTTTATTCTTAATATTTTAATTTTTTATTAATTTTGAGATTTTAAAGAATAAACGTGTTTATTATTATATTTTTTATTATTTGTATAACTTTTACTATTAAAATTCTCGTTAAAATATCAATAAAATTTCAATATAATAATTTATAGTAAAATTTAAAGAAGAAACTATGATCATATTATATTGTATGTATGTACATATTTGCTTATAATAGTATATACAAAGTTATGTTCTTATCGTAATTCTCACATTACAATAATAAGAATTAGTTCTTTTTATTGTTAACAACAATATAAGTATACAATAAATAACTATTTTTATAAATATTCGTATTAAAATTATAAAAATAGTAAAAAACTAGATTAAAAGATATTGTTTGTTTTAATAAGGTTCGAAAAAATCAATGATTACATAATAATATTCATTGTAAATTTAATTGTTGTTACATTTGTTTATAATTCATATGTATGTATTTTTTAGTAGTTACTTTCGACAAAATAATCCAAATGATAAATTGACAAATAATGTTATTTTATAATAGAATGTGTAACACACACACACACACGTGCATTAACTCATAAAATATATCTAAAGAAAAGATAAATGATCGTGATTAAAAAAATATTGGTAAATAAAAATAAATTATTATTTTGTTTAATATATTTCAATATTTTTTACTAATTTTTCATTACTAGCAACGTAAAAAAGTTTAAAAATTAGAATTACAAATTGTTATACAATTAAAAGTATTGTAAATAACTTGATAATTTTATCAATATTTATTTTATTATTATATTTTGATATTAATGATAATTTATCATGAATTATTCATATTTTGAATGAAACTCGAAAACTTACTTTATTGTATAGGCCTAGAGCTTTATAGTAATTTTCATTCTTTACATGGACCATTGCTTCATTTACCAACAATTTTTTTTCTATTGATGCGAGATGTTTTATTTGTGATATCGATTTTCGATGATTTGTCATATTAATTCAATACCTGTAATACATTGCATATTAATGTTTAATTGCATGTTATGCATAGGTAAAAATAAATACAATCAATTATATACAAATATACTTTTTAGCAAACGATATATAATTAATTTTTAATTAATTATAAAAACAGTTTTTTAAGTATAAATTTAATTCTATCTATAATTTGTAATTACGTAATTTGTTATATTTTGAGATTAATCAATGTCATGAAAACAAATTATAGTTTTATTTTATGTAGTCATTCAAACAATCAAACATTTTTTTCAGTATGAAATATCCAAAAAATTGCTTTTATTATATTAAAAAGAAACAAAAGACTAAATTTTATTAACTAATTTATTAATTAATTTTATTTATTATTTATAAATTGCGGATGATCAATAGTTTTTTAAATATTATAGTGTATATTAATAAATAATTTCAATTTTTTTCCTTAAAAATCAATTACGTAGGACACAGAGAATATAATTGTTAAACTTAAAACATTTATTTAAATTTACCTAATGAATATTTTTTTTAATTACTTACATAGGTTATTACAAATAATAAATTATTCATTGAAATAGTAGAATATACATATGTATTTTAATTGGAAAAATAGTCAACATCGATATATTAATACGTATATAATATCACTTACCTCTAAATTTCAATCTTTGCGTTTCAGAACAGCTTTTCTAATTAATTAGAATTTATATTCAAACATATTTTTATATTTAATTGTGAAATTCATAGCAAGTAAATCCTTATTCAAGTAAATGATGTTTAAGGCTATTTCTAAAGGTTATTTTTAATTCTAAATTTACGATCGGAATTTTTCCGTCTATACTTTTTGTACTGTCTCCTTGCTCTTAATAATCTGGACTAATCAATATGACAATAACAAAGAATAAGGATGACTAGAAAAGTCTTTTAAGACTTTATTCTTCAGAAATTATAACAGAAACATATGTATATAAACGAATAAACGAATTGCAAGTACTATCTTTGTTATTTTTAAATTATGTCCTCTATTAAAAGTTAATAGAAATCGTTTAAATAAAGTTAATTCAAATTAATTTAGTACTACAATAAAATATTTTTTGCAAATGTAAATAGATATTAATATACATATTTCAAATTAAAAATTTATTGAATTTAAAATAGATCTTTTTCTTTTTTTGGATTCTGAGAAACTTAGTTTAGGTATTCGCTAAAGTATTTATTACTTTATAATATTGTTATTACGTATTTACTTAAAAAATATGTAATAAAAAAATGCTTAATTATTATTCTCGAATAATATTTTAAATGAAAATAAAATAGCAATTACAAAAATATGAACTATTGAGGTTAGGTTATTCTATAAAATTTTAAATTATCTTTTTTAATTTAAATGATAACATATTCAAAATATCATGACTTTTTAATTAAAAATATAAAGATTATTAGATCTCAATAGCGAAGTATAAGATATTCTGTTTCATATTAAATGTTTTAATTATAAGATATAATGCTTTATATTAAACCTCTAGTGGGCACGTATACGAGAATACAAGTCACATTGCTATAAAATTCAATTTCCAAAAATATATATACGTTATCAAAATTTAATACTTGCTCTAACGTTGCATTTTAAATTTAAATATAAATGCTTTATTGCGAAATTAATAATTCTTTTTTACTTACATAATAGACTTTACCAGAAAAATATAATAGAAGTGATAATGGAGAATTGTTTAAGATTTGATTATCAATTATATCTTGAAACAGTAATTATTGATAAAATAGTTAATATATTAAATTTATGAAATAATTATATGACTAAGTTTCATAATAAATATTTTTTATAAGACTAATTTAATTACACTTAATTACATGTTATCTTTATTATAATTATTCTACACAACTATATATAATACAATGTACTAAAAGTATATTATTGTGGTGGTTTCCATGGTATAATTTTTGGTTTTGTAGTAGTATAAGGTATGTAAGCTTCATTAGTACCACTTAAATTTGGTTTGTGATCTGCTATCCACTTGTGTTTTGGTCGACTGGGATCCTTGGTAGGGATTAAATCTGTTTTATAATGTAACCATCCATACCATTCTGCTGGGACTTGAGAACCATCGTAATCCAAATAAACTTTTTCAGAATATATTACCCACCTATTACGACCTGTTATAACGATAATAAAATTTTCTAATTAGAAACAACTTTATTGTTTAGTTTAGTTTAATAGTAACTCTTAATTATTTATACTTCTAAATTACATTTAGTTATTATATTATTAATATAAAATTATACTTATTTCTTTTAAATATGTATAGCTGTTTAAATTGAATATTTTGATGATATGAAAATTTTGAATGTGTAAGCTTTTCCTATGTGAACACAGAATGCACATGAAGATCAACTTCATTTTTTTTAATGAAATTATATATTTTCTAAATTAATAGATCAATCAATGCAGCTTGACATTTCCCACAAAAAGTTATTAATTCATGTATATTAAAAAAATATTAGGAGAAGATGGAGTAATAAGAATCAGAGTTAATAAGACACATTTCTTTTTTATGGCTTGTTTATGGGTCTAAAATCTACTAAACGTCTATTAAATTAAACATCTACTAAATGTTTACTGATCAAATGTTGCAATTTTCAATATATAAAATTTTTTCTTAATTTTGGTAACATACTTTGTTAAGAACTTTTTAATTGAATTTATAGACTATTAAAAGAATTTTTAATTAAAATTATTTATTTTATTTTTTGTCCATAAAAAAGAAATTTCCAAGGATCATAAAAAGCATTATTTTTTATTTCTTAAAGATTGATTTAAACACTTTACAATAATAAGTATTTTGTTTACTTATTTATTAAAATAAAACTTCTATTTCAAAGAAAAATCAATGAAGTTTTGTTTTGTCATTTTGTTTGTGAAAACAATTTTGCTTGTTTTTCTTCTACACGTTATAATTGTCAATTTTTCAAACTTTCTAATTGCTTAATTATATATATTTTTACAAAGTGCTATGTGAAATTACACTGTCAATTTATAAGGAAAATAGTTTGCTAAAATTATGAATGATCTTTCTTTTCTTAGAATATTTTTTTACTAAGAAATATGATTTTGATCTGTTTGATATTTATTACATTGTCCAAAAAACATTTTGAACAAAATTAAATTAATTTTAAAGAGATAAATTTGTGCTAAAATTTTTTATTATCATTGTCATCACCCTATAAAAAAAAATTAACTAAGATAAAAATATAAAAAGAATTTGGGTAATAGTGTACATTTTAATTATGTTTCTTATAATTCTTTAAGAATTTTTTTTATTATTTTAAAAACTTGTTTCTTATTATCCCTGATGGGATATTAGAATATGCTGAGATAATAAGAAATAATATTTATTTCCTCTATGAACTAAAATGATGTAATTTCTTTTTGCACTTGAAATGTTTATTAGAAAACTTAAAACAAACTCAAAAACATTTGCTATACTAATTCTGTGCCAATTCTTCCCTAGTTTAGAAGATATTTTAATTTTAATTTTATATGAAATTAGGTGTATGAAAAATGAAAAAGAGCAGAAGTAATATTTTTACGCTCATCTTATTTTTGTCTCTTATACGATAAATTTTATAAAATTAAAATTGGAAATTCTCCCAAATTAATAGTTTTTGACATACACTGACTAATACCTTTTTATGCAGAATATCAACTAGCATTGATTAGTCTATTAAAAAATATAATTTCATTTAAGAAAATAAATTTGCTCTTTTCATATCCTCTACGTATCCATATAGAAAATGCTTACTAACATCAGATAATGTGGTCCCTGAAATTTATTTAACTTTGCTTCTGATATATTTTTTAATGTTGTCAATTTGTTTTGAAGTTCAAGTGAATTGATTTAAATAGGCCATTCTCTATAAGAGATAAATTTATTTAGTTATACTGCTCATCTGTTAATAATATTTTTATAAACATTTTACACTTGCAAAACGAAAAATAAACGAAATGTTTATTCTTAGAACTTACTAAAAATGTATTCATTATTCTCATAATATTTGTTTCCATATTTATCTACGCCAACTAAGGTACCATCTCTTAGTTCATCCACTCTGTAATTTAACATTAATGTTAAATTGTTTTTATATGTTTATGTCAAAATTACGATAGAAAATAAATATTTATAATTATAGAATAATAAATATCTAAGCTAAATTAGGTTAGTACAAACGAAATTTTCAATTGAAATAGTAATTATATATTGATATAAATATTCAAATAAATATTAATTGTTATAATAACCTGAATGTAAGACGCAAAGAATTTAAAATACCACCGCTTGCTTTTATTGTACGCCAAAAATTATAAATTCTATCTATTCCCAGATACTTCGCCATGTTTATTACACAACCTTAACTATACAAATTTCATGGATGGGTTACTTTAAGGTTAATTATAGTATTACATACGTGTATGATATGTATATATTATATATAACAGTAACATAAATATTTCCTAAAAGATTATGGTTAAAATTATTCAGATATAAAAGATTGATATTTTTTATATATAAAATTTTTATTTGTAATTTCATATTTTTATATAATAAAAATATCGAATATTGAATATTATTTTTGAAAAATATCGAATATTGAATATTATTTTTGAAATGGATGACAAATATTTTGTATAAAACATACAAATCGTATACTTATGCTACTAAAAAATCGATTAATAATAAAATCGAGTATCATAGTATAAGCGCGGGAATATTTAATTATTCAAATTTATTGAATTTAGTTTTTAAAAATTGATTTAAAATACATATTCTAATTTATTATTTTATCAAGATTTTGTTGATTAATAAATATATTTGAATATTATAATGAAAATATTATAACATTTTTAAAAGATTATTGTATTTAAAATTGATTACATTCTTTATATTCGATTTATACTTTATTTCTATAATAAATATTTTCAGTAATTTATGTATATAAATCTAATATAACGTGATTATATATAAATTATTATTTATTTATATATAAATTTATTATTTATTATTTAATAACATTTATATAATGTTATGACAATATTTATAATATTATAATTTATTATTTATTATTAACATTTAATCTGATTAAGATGTAGCATTTTTAATATTTTATTTCATCTCAAGTTAATAATATAAAAGTTAATGGTATAATATGAAATAATTGATTTTAAAAAATTTTAATATATTAAGGTGAATTTTTATTTTTGATCATAAATATCTTTCAATTTTTATTATTTATTTTCAATTATTCTCCATATAATGTCTCTCTGTTAAACATTTTTTTCACTTAAAACAAAAGAACAAAATTTTTATTTTAATTTATGAACTTGAATATTAGACTTTAAAAGGATTTAAATCTTTGAAATTGCAGCTTTGAATACATTTGTTTTTTCTGAAAATTTATTATATTCATTTGTAAAATTTTAGTTCAATCATACTAACGTTAATATAACAAAAAACGTTTTAAACCAACGAGAGAACATAATATTATGTTCAACATAATATAACGAAAACCAAAATAGAAAGAGTTTGCATACTTCAGTATGCAAACCTCATTATTAGAGAAAAAACGAACTAAATATAAGAAAAAAGTTAACCGTGAACAAAAAAAAAAATACAGAAGTAAAATTATCGATAAAAATGAAAAGGATAATCTTCATAAAAAAAAAATGGAAGCATCAAGACAGCCTAAGAAGATAACCAAAGATCTACAAACAATAATTATTTCTGCCATAGATCCTTATGATGCTCCTTTGCAATGGTGGGAATCAGAACACGTAAGATATGCGTAAGTTAAAATTTTTACTGTTTATATTGAGTAATTTTTTGTTTCTATCTGATTTTTAAAAGGTATAGAAATAGACAAATAAAAAGTATAGCGTTTTTAACAGCTATCAGTATCAAATATCAAAAAATATGAAAAAATATTAGAAACAAAAAATATACATTTATATTTAATTATTAAAAATTGTGTTTTATGTGATCTTTATGTTGTTTTCTAGATCTTATTTATTAATCTACTTTTTTGTAGAATAAATTATCCACCGGTAAAATTTCGATTAGAAAAAGTAATGGGAACTCATATTGTGCGATTAACTGATCGCAAATATATGTTACTTTTCGCAGCTAAGCTCTTGGAGAATCATTTAGAGCAACAAGAAATTCGCATTGAGAATAGAAAACTGTCATTACCCTCGATTACGTCTTGCTTATTAAAAGTGTCTTATAAAATGCTTTCTGAAAAAATTCATTATCCTAGATATCGTAAGTTAAAATTTTTTATGTAAAAAGCATTTGTAATTATCATAAATTTATATAACGGGAAACATATAATGTGGTAAAATTAAATATAATGTATAAAACATAAACATAATAGAATTTTATTTAATTTTTATTTTTGTATTAAATCTTTATCACATTTTTAAATATATTTTAATAATGCATTGAAAAATATTATATCATGTTATACCTTATATATTAGACAATAGTATAATTTAAAAGTTAAACAATATAAAAATAAAAAATTGATAATAGATACTATTTATGCACAAGTAACAATGTTAGGAACATTATCATTTCTACATTATGAAAAGGAAATGAGAATTCTTATTTTTTGAGCCAACCTTTAATTTTAATTGCCAACACAATGTTGATTTTGTATATTTACATTTAATATAAATTAATAAAGTCACCAATTTAATAAATTTTTAATCAATTTTACACATTTATTGGTATTGATTATCAAAGAAAATAAAATTAAAAAATAGAAATTTTTAAGTAAACTAATTTTTATTTGTTAGTAATAAATTTTTAAATAAGTCAATAGATTTTTATGTCAACATAAAAAATTAATATAGAAATAAAACAATATACAAATTAATATGGAAATATTAAGAATTTATTATTCACGGAATATTAATTGGTTGGTTAAATAAAATGAAATCCATTGCAATGTTGTCAATATATCTCCAGATTTTGAAACAATCATTATCTAATTGTAAGAGTACTCCGTTTTATATTATGTATTTATGTATGTATCAAAAATGTATGTATCCGTGTTTTAATATTAATACATATTTTAATATATAATTATTCGTATGTCATTGTTTATAAATATAATTTTTAACTAACTAAATTATTTCTTAAAATTATTTTAATTGGCCATTAGCAATTGGTCACCACGTATTTATTTAATTCTGAATAGTCACTGATTGAAATGAAATTTGGAGGGATATGAAAAGATTCCAAAAATCTTGGCTTCAAGAAATCATCTGCTTGGAGATAGATTCTTCAATTTCACAAAATCTACTACATGTAAAATAAGAATAAACAGCTAATGGTGCTAATTAGGCCCGATGCAGACGAGTGATTTGTGACAAATTATCGCAACGATTCTTTTGAAAGAACAGAGATATAATATTCTCTTATCCTTCTTTTTATGAAACAAAAGAACTTTTGTATCTCCAAAGCATCACCGCTTTCAGATCATTCGTTTGGATTGGGTCTAATTCGAGCATCTAGAGTAAAGAAAATCACGTTGTCTTTTATCCGAAAAGTTAAATTTCTAAGTTTTTCAAACATCTCAGTGTAGCGACCTATAGTTCCTCGAGTACGAGTTTCGAACACCAACTTGCACAAGCCGCAAGTGGCTGTGCGCCTAGCGTCGAAGTCAATNAACAACAAGCGTCTGGGGTAAGGAGTCGCTGCCATCAACCCCACTGATGAGTCTAGGCAGCGACTCTGAGACGAAACGCACAACCTTTCCTCACCTTACCCACATCATCACTTCCTACATTATCCTCGCATTATCATCGCCATTTCAATCCCTTCATCAACAGTGTAGCGACCTATGGTTCCTCGAGTACGAGTTTCGAACACCAACTTGCACAAGCCGCAAGTGGCTGTGCGCCTAGCGTTGAAGTCAACCGATATTCGATGTTAAGCAAACAGAGTGCGGAACCGCTAGGATGGGTGACCATCCAGCCTAGCGAATAGTTACAACAACAAGCGTCTGGGGTAAGGAGTCGCTGCCATCAGCCCCACTCACTGATGAGTCTAGGCAGCGACTCTGAGACGAAACGCATATAACCTTTCCTCACCTTACCCACATCATCACTTCCTACATTATCCTCGCATTATCATCGCCATTTCAATCCCTTCAGCAGTAGGGAGGGGGGGGCCATCTATTGAGTTATAGTTCCAAAAAATTCAGTGACGGATCGTGTGAAATTTAAAGGGATTGAAAAGCGACAAAATTTCAAAAATTTTAATTTTGGTTAGTTTTTGAGATATTAGAAAATTAAAAAATACATTAAATTAAAAAATACATTAAATTCGTGTATAAACACTAATGTAGATACATATTACTAATGTAATGATAAAAATTCGAGAAATCCTGACATTTTATCCTGACAGTTCAAATAAAATGGCGAAAAATATTGTATAGCAAGTTTTGATGTCATTGGTAAAGAAGAGAATTTAAATTTTCTAGACCACAGTGGATTCAGTTACGAAAAAAATTCTCTTTTTTACAAATTTAGAGAATACAAGTTTCTTTAGTTTCTTATTTGCTATTTAAAGTAAAAATATTTAAAAAAAAACAAATTTATTTAAAAAAAAAGTCAAAATAAAGTGTTATATTTTTTTACAAAGTTTATCATATAACTCGTAGTATATGAATAGATGATGTGAATAGATATTGCCACAGACGAGGTATGTATATGAATAGACATTGCATACAATCGTAACCTCATTACCATTTTTGTGTCACATCCTGTTGTACCGATTCAGGCAGATTTTGCACCGCAGCACTACTAGTGATAAGAATTAAAATAAAAAAATATAGACAGTGTTGCCAAGTCTGTTTCGAGAATTATTTAGTGAATTGAACGTGGTGATACTTCATCATCGAAAGAATACAACGATTTAAAACAGATGAAAGTTGAGATGAAAAATTTATAGTATATATTCGACTATTAACATCTATTTAAAAGTATTAGAAAAAATTGATTGAAATACGATATTTTTATGAATAATATAATTATATATAATGTTGTTTTATTTACAAATATGTAAATTCACAGCTTGAATGAATTACTTTTATCTCGTAAATTCGATTTTATGGACTTATCAAAAAAATATTTCTACAAATATTGTTTGGAATAAAGAAGCACATTGTACGTTGTAAATTATTTCTTGCAAATTATCGGAATTTCGAAGTCCAATTAATTTTCTTAAACGATACCATACGCATATTTTTTATTTTATAGTATGATGTTACTTGTTAAGATGAATTCACCAAGTTGCATTTTCAATTACCGGAATCATTTAGTGTTATAAATTGATAATAAAAATGATATAGAGTATGAATGACTTAATGATATATATGTTAGTATTAACATTTTATGAATTTAGAACATTCCTCATTCGTATTTTCCTTCATTTTGATTGCCAATGAACTTGTAGATTCATCAACCACTCTTTCACTGATTTCGATAATCCCTAAATAATATCATTTAGAAATCGATACTCCGAATGATCCTTTCTTCTAACAAATAAAGTCCGATATATTAAAGGAAAAAACTGCTGAAAATATTTTCACAATATATTCAAAAATCACTGAAATCGATGTGGAAGTCTACACTTTCACTCAACTGCCTTCGTTATTGTGCATAATGACAAAAGAAAAGCAAGTTAAAGGGACACAGGCAAGTTTCGATTTTCCTGACGAAAGTAGTTGCCAAAATTTAAAAGTCTCACATGGTTGCCACATTACTGTTCTGTCCATCGATTTAATGAAATGGTTAAACTAGCGAAATAGGCAACTTAGACGATTTTTTGATAATTTTTATTTAAATAAAAATCATTTGAATAATATCAAAAATAATTTAATACACTCTTCTGATTTTCAATAATACGTTTATTTTATATTTAATATTAAATAAAAGAAAAATAATTTTTTATAATATTTGTCTCATATCCGTTATATTGAATATGAAAAAACAAAATGAATCACGCAAATAATATCGTTGTTTTTCATAAATATAATTTGTTGAATGTTAATTTTCTTTTCGACAAATTTTCGTGATAGAAATATAAATATTACATTTAAAAACAAAAGTTACAAAAGTACAATAATAAATATTAAAGCCAATGGGACGCGTTATTGATGACATGGACATGTTATTCTATTATTTCATTCATTGTCAGTATTATTGTTTCTATTTTTTCATTCATTATGAAATACTACGTTATTAAATAATAGAAAAATTAAGAAGAAAGAAAAGCACGTTGCGTATAAATATAACATAGTATCACTTTTACTATTTCTTTTGTTAAAATTCGTTCAAATTTCACGATACTGTTTCAGAAAAATTAGTCATAATTCATGAAAATTTGGCTTTATCAATGTTTACAGCGGAAAATGAGTTATTTTTTAATCAATCAAGAGTTGAATTGTTTTCAAATATTTAATAAATACTCAAAATGAAAAAGAAAATATTTTAAAAATAAGAAAATTTGTATTATTTATTTATTTGTTATACTGTATAAAAAATAAATAAATTTATATTTCAAGAAATAAGAAATTTTGTTAAAAATAATAATAAAAGAAATTAAAAAGAATTAAAAATAATTGTTTATTAAAAATCTCTTTCCTGACTTTAAATTTAAAATATTATGTTTTTTATATTTTTGTTTCTTGACGAATAAAACAGCATTAGACAAAATTCTCTTATGCACTTCAGGAAGTATGCTTTGAATAGGAATTCGGAAACCAATGTCCCTTCAAATACTTTGTTAAGAATTCGTCGTGGTATGAGCCGTCTTCAGGTTCGGTCAAGGACCAAAGTACAAATCAGAGAAAGATATATTTTTACGTCAAGAAGCTACCGCGTAAAAAANATATATATATTTGTTCGGATATCCGTGTTAATTATTTGTGTAAGGACTCGTAGTAGGAATCTACATTATCTACTACGTGTACCCCTACATCCTACAATAATGTAGCGACCTCTACTTCGAAGAATTTAGATCAACGACATCTATGTTCCGTCGAGATGCGTATTTAATATAAATAATAGAATATTTAAAAATAGCTATTAATTTTATTATCACTATGGAAATGTTTACTGACACTTATATATATTGTAGTCGTAGTAGAAATTCTTCATTCGTTATTTAATTTTTATTCGTAGAAATTATTCGTCATTTAACTTCCATTATGTAATCTTAATCCAATAAATTATTAGTAATTATATATTTTGTGATATTGATAATATGTTTATATAAACAACTAAAATTAATTACGGAGTTCTTATTTATTTGTAGTATTATCATTATAATCACTACAAATGAAAAAAAATTTGACTACTTGAAACTAATTGAAAAGAACCCTAATTATGAGGAATAATCGAATATTAAATTTATATTTAGAATTTCTCAAGGCTGAGTTTGTTTATACTAGGATAATAAGGACAGGGCTGACAGGTTAACTGATAATCATACGGAAGTAAACATTAAATCTCACTTCTTGGGAATTTGATGAATCGTTTTTAAATCTAAATGCATAATATCTTCCATGTGTCTTATTTTGCATAGTCTTATTAGAATCGTTTTTCAGATCATCTTCATTAGAGCTGACCTAAATGATCCAGGACACACATATCTTAAGCTTTCGTTGCCAGATTGGATATATCTATTAGCAGAAAAAGTAGCCTCCTCCTTATGTAGAGAAGAAAATCATGTGGTTGTATTCTGTAAAAACTTTGACCTCCAGCCATTATTTTTACACAATTGTAGCTCATATTACAACGAAATAATGATCCAGTAGTCCAAGAACAATCTTTTTCTTAGTTACCTTCATTTCAGATTTCTGCTACATCATTATCTTTGATACATAAATTACAAGCTGAAAATGTTAGAAACTATGCCCTTGCCACCACCAAGATGCATCAAGAAACAGCTTATTGTCTTCAGCTCTTCCAACAACTCTTTTAGTGATTTGAATGCTCAAAAATGATAATAGACATAAAGCAGTTGTTTTTACCAAAAAAAACGTAAAGTAGCTAACAGAGCAGACTTCCCTAGAAGATATCTCCTTGCTACTGCTGCCTGTCAAAGATTAAATCTAGGATCCTATTCAAAATCATCCAGTGTATTTTCAAAATGAATTTAGTTCCTATTAAACACATACGATAATTCCAAAGTCCTAGAAGCACCAACTCTAATAAAGATGTTTTCCTCTTCTTCACAGAACTTTTTAGATAAAAATCCGCATCACAAGAATTGTGAAATGCCTCAACAGTTCCTGTCCAAAAGATGTTATGAGCGAGGATTTCTCTGTTTTAAAAGAAGACTAATTAGATTAAAATTATTTATATTTTCAACATTTTATTGTTACGAGTTGTCTTCTAGAACTGAAGAAGTCTTCACTCTAAGCGCCTGGAAAGTCAATTCAATTATAAATTATAACATTCTTATCTTTGTTGAAACGTGACTGACTCACAAGGCCAATTTTAGCTTCTCACGATTCATAGAGTTCAGAAAGGACAGAACTAATTTAAAAGGTGGTGAAATTCTAATTCTCATCTATAAAAACGTGATTTTCAGGCAAATTACTAACATCAAATCTCCTGACATCTTAATTGAGCTATCCGAATTTGAACATATTATTTGAACTATATCTCTTTGTGTAAATAATGTAAAGCCAGAATTGGATATATTTGTCTGCTATAGAGCTCCTGGCTTCACTCTTAGACAAGATCAGTGGAATCTAATTGTTTAAAATATGGACACTAAATGCAACTGCATTCTAGCAGATGATTTTAACGCTTATCATTCTAATTGAAATTTCACATACAGATAGCAGTGGTTGAACATTTTATAATGCCATGAAAATTGTTGATTTTCTACTACACAATGACAACTTTTATACGTATATTAAGGTACACAAAACTTTTAATTGCAATATTGTTCTCTCATTCCCTATTATGAATATTTGTGACAAAATTGATACTGTTGTGTACGATAAATGATTACTTCCCTATTTATTTTAACATTAAGATACATAAGAACTATTTCGAGAAAAATTAGACAATATATACATAAACAAATGTATAATTTATTGGATCGAATACAGTGATGCTTCATCAGTAAAAGAATATAAATATAATAAGAATATGAAATATAAAATAAGAATATAAAAAGAATATAACGATTCAGAGATTGATGGTAATTGGNTACGAAAAATTTATTATACATTTAATTATTTACATTTGTTTAAAAATATTAGAAAGAATTGATTAAAATAATTTTTATTTGATTTATATAAAGGAATGGACGTATCAAATAAATATTTCTATAAATATTGTTACTTTTTAGCCTGAGTTAGTTTCTTGCGAAATGCGCGAGTATTGGGTTTAGATTAGTTAACGAATTACAGCGCCTTTGCACGGTGAAATACGCAATACACTTCCTACGATTCTCGAACTCGAAATCAATATTGCTCATGATCGATTTTTAAACGATAAGTATGGCGGAATCAAGCAGATCGCATCTGTAAAGAAGAAAATGCCATCCAGAAGTAAGTATCATCCAAAAGCCCTTAGGCAAAAATTTTATTCAATAGCTATTAGATTTATGTTTGCGTTGTGAATTTTTAAATTAAAAGTTGCATTTTTGACTTCATTTCATCGAGATCTGCCAGATTACTGAAGTGTATAATTTTTGCAAATAATTATTATTACGTATAATTTTCAAGAATTAAAAATAATAGCATACAAATATTCAAACAGAACACACTGTGCCAAAAGTTATTTATAATTTTGTACCTAAATTTAGTTTTAATCCTAATTACAGCAAATGTTGTGATCTTATAACGTTGACTAACTCAATCAATGTTCTGGCACACTATCATTAAATTCACCATGATCTTGAAAATTTGAATCTTCTCTTTGTAACAAGCCCGTAAAACTTGTTGTAGAATTTATTTTCCTCATTTCATTTGTTATTTTATTAGGACTAAACAATGAAATGTTAGGATTTCTTGAATTTTTGATATTCAACTCCAATATTTGAAGTTCAACAAATGAACGAAAAGTAATCATACAGGTAGTTTTAAAACCTCATTGTAAAGGAAAAGTTTTATTATTCAACATCATGATTAATCGGTTACGACAAAAATTTTTCAGTGATAAAAAGAAAACTTCTCTTTGGGGAGAAGTTTGTATTCTTATAATTTTCGAGGAAAAAAAATATTCTTACTTTTACGGTTGTTGTATAGTGTAAAAATAAATATGTATCTTTGAACGAAACAAGCAGAAGACTGTTAAAGATGAAACTTCACTATTTAAAATAAAGGCAAGTTTATTATTCTACAATTTCTTTTTCAGGAAATTATAACAGTTTAAAACATTAACAATTTTTCATCTAGTGTATGAATATTTTCGTTCTTTTTTAAGAATTTCTCATGAATTTTGTGTATTTGAGTCAAACCAGAGTTTTTTATTTTTTATTCCAAGTTACTATTTCGTTCGAAATGCGCGCGCATGGAGTTCAAATTGATTACAGCGCCAACGGTGGAATACGCAACATACTTCCTACGATTCTCGAACTCGAAATCGATATTTCTCATGATCGAAATGTAACTGGAAAGTGGCGGTTAAAGATGGCGGAGAATGAAGACGAAAGTATTATCCAGAAAAATCAACCAGAAAGAAGTATCGTGCAGAAATTCTCAAGTAAGAATTTAAATCAGTAACTGTTAGATATGCGTTTGTGTTGTGTAGAGAAGATGAAACATACGTTTTTGGCTTCAGTTCAAAGTAAGATTTAACCAATTAATTACTACATATAATTTTCAACAATTAAAGAAATAATAGCATATGAATATTTTATTTCCATATATACCTCATTTATAGTATCATTTAATTATTACGCGCGTGTTTAATCATTCATTGAGCATTACGATAAAGAAATCGTGTAGTGCTTTGGAAATTTTCGAGCAGATTTTTCTTCAATTATCGATTTCAATTGTAAGGTTATTGACAGATCATCTCGTATGTCTTTTTAATAGACTTTGAAGTTGTTATCGTTTCATTTTCCCACGTTTGCGTTTATTTGACATATTTGTTCTGACTTTCGATTTCTCTTTGTGCAGGTGCTTGATTGCAGATAGCATAGAACACAGATGCCACGATCATTAATGGACAATTTGATGAACTTTCACGGAAATTTGGCAATATTTTATTCATTTTGGGTAACATGTGGTATACAATTCATATCTATTTGAGATACAATTCACAATACATAATTTCGTAATTATTTGGAATACAAAGATGATAATGGAAAAGATTGAATTAATTAATATTTTATTTGGATATATACCAGCTTAACGGTATACATATGCTATCAAATGGATGTATATTCTTGTATTAAATTATCAAATTCTAAGTTTCCATACTTTGCTGTATTATATGTATTTGCTTTTTTCATACGTTGCTTGTTTCATAGTGTTTTTATTATACTGTACTTGCTTTTTTCATACGTTGACTTGAAATTGAAACGATTCAAAACAAGATTTCACTCGCGTTTTTTGTGGTATTGCTTCTTAAATATATTTAGCTAAGTTTGAATTAGAAATTATGATTTGTACAACATTTTCGAATATTTATAACACGACACATGATATACTACTAATATAATATATTATTAAGTGTGCACTTCCTACTCTAATAACAGACATTCAGAATACAATAATTGTCTTTCATTATCTTTACAGTATTCAATATTGAGAAAAACCTTGTAATTTACAGTTAACATCTTTAATATATATTCAAGTTTCTTTATAATCATGTTCTACAAAAATAGTGATATTTTATAAATGAACGTATTCCCTCTCCCTTCCCTCTTAATCAGCTTTATTTTCAGAAAGTTTTTGTGACCACGTGCAATGCGGTCGGTAGAGCCAGTGTTTATTGCGAAGTATTTTCATATGGCCCTTGTTAAATTAAATAATTCATTTAAATTATAATTCGCGAAATTAGAGTCAGTGAGTTCGCCGATGTTACTTAAA